CTATTTACCACATCATCATATCTGTTACTGGCAGAGAGCAATGACTGCAATAAACAAAGAAGTGCTGACATGAAAGAAAGAACTGCTGCAGGCAGGAGAATAAAAAAGATCTAGGCCGGGCGCAGTGGTTCACGCCTGTAATCCCCGCACTTTGGGAGGCTGAGGTGGGCAGATCACCTAAGGTCAGGCATTGGAAACCAGCCTGGCCAACATGGTGAAACTCTGTCTCTACTAAAAATACAAAATAAGCCGGGCATGGTGGCATGTGCCTATAATCCCCGCTACTTGGGAGGCTGAGGCAGGAGAATTGCCTGAACCTGGGAGGCGGAGGTTGCAGTGAGCCAAGATCATACCATTGCACTCCAGCCTGGGTGACAAGAGCGAAACTCCATCTCAAAAAAAAAGACCCTAACAAGTCTGCTACAGATGCCTCTCATTTTCAGTCCACTGGCTTGGGACACCACACACCTAGGCCCCAGCAGAGCTAACGAACTGGAGAAACACGGTAAGTGTTCTTTTCCCTAAGTCACAAAAACACTGGCTTCTGGTTACATGAATATAAAAGCATGTATGAAATAAGGTCAAAAATTCAAACAATTATTGCCCAAATTTAGGCCCCAAAGGACCCATTAGCTCAATGATTTAGATCTTTTAGGCAACAGTCCTTCTTGACTTTCCTTCTACTTTTGAGTACACCTGAATCTGAAAGCGGTTCCTGTATCTCCCATTTGTATTTATTGTTTCATCAATACTCAAGCCAGCTTTATACCCTCTCTATGAACAAGGTGACAATTAGCCTTATGGATCGTTTCTCATGGGCTGACTAGATCCAAACAAGTAATTAACTTCAGCAGAAAACAAAATTGTCCTTATTTGCTGTTGTTTCAGGCAAGTGGTTAACTGCAAGACTGGCTCTCTCTCTCTCTCTCTTTTTTTTTTTTAGACGGTGTCTTGCTCTGTCGCCCAGGCTGGAGTACAATAGTGCGATCTCAGCTCACTGCAACCTCCACCTCCAGGGTTCAAGCAATTCTCCTGCCTCAGCCTCCCAAGTAGCTGGGATTACAGGCGCCCACCAACACATCCGGCTAATTTTTGTACTTTCAGTAGACATGGGGTTTCAGCATGTTGGCCAGGCTGGTCTCAAACTCCTGACCTCAAGTGATCCACCTGCCTCGGCCTCCCAAAGTGCTGGGATTATTCGTGTGAGTCACTGTGCCCAGCTGAAGACTGGTTTTTTCATTAGACAAATACGACAGTGCATAAAAGGTAAGTCGTACCCAAATTCAAGGGAGGCAATGTCAGGAAAAAGTTCACAAACCCTCATGTAAACGGCATCTTTTTCCTGGTACCCAGTATGAGAACCATTTCTCTGTTTCTCTAGAAATCACAATACAGATTCAAAAGAATGATGGCAGTCATTAGAACAGCGGGCCAGAAGCCTTGGTCAATTCTTAGCCTGACGGGTCTCCCAGCGGTGGCTGCTAAGGCCATCATGTGACGAAGGCTGAGAGAGGCTGCCAGGATGGGAATGACTTTCCTCAGTGGTCGGCTCCGGGGGCTGCCATCGTGTCCAGCCTGTCCTCCATGATGGGGACCAAGGCCAACAAGCCAGGCCCAAGCCCTCCGGTATCCACAGAGAATCCAGCAAGTCCGGGGATGGGGAAGAGGCCACAGCTGACGAGGGTCACCGATTGTGGCCTCAGGACTGTGGCATCTGAGCCAGGCATTAAAGGCTGCAAAAATATTGAGAGGCAAAAATCAGAGGGGAAGCCATGTCAAGCTGAGGCCACCACATAGCAAAGGCAGGAAGATGGGGACGGAGTGCAGAGGAGGAACAGAGTCTCTGGATTAGAGCAGGAAGGGCTGAGAAATAGCAGCTGAAAATAAGGGCTTGGCAGAAGGCTGGGACCTGAAAGTGCCAGGTTTCAAATGCCACACCAAGGAGCTGGTACCTCCTCCTACGATGCTGAGCAGGGAACCCTGAAGGTCGTGGCAAAGCTGCCCTGAAGATGGGTTTTCAGAAGCCCTGGCCATCCTGCAAATCACACAGGCCTGACTGGGTGCCCCGGACAACACACACATCCAACTCAATGAGCAGGCAACTGTTGGGTCTCCACGTGACATCATGCTCCGGCCTTTCAACCAAAGTGATAGCACAGGAAGTGTACAGCAGTTATCTGCAGGTCCAGACAAACAGGTTTCACTCATTCTAAACCAACCAGTCAAAGAATGGTCAGGGGTTCTTCAGTAAGTCACACAGCTTTATTTTTCAAGAAGATCTCTCTTCTGAGAAAATCCAAGAGACAAATGAAGACCCAAAAAAAAAAAAAATTAAAAAGCAACAGTGCTTGTTTAATGTTACGGTAAGGACGGAAATAGATTTATGTTCCAAAAACCAAATGAATCAGGCTGTGCACTACTCAATATCCTGACCCATGAGGGTTTCTTTCTTTCAACTAAAAATAGATGCAATTTTCAGTGTCACACAAGTCAAGGCAGCTCATGAGTAGATTAATCCTTCTAAATGAAAGGTCAGCCCACGGTGAGGCTGCAGGGAGGGGATGCTGCACGTACGCCGTCTACAGGCGCACAGACTGGGATAACCTTTTTAGAGGGCAATTTGGCAATATTGATCAAATCTTTAAATGTGCTCATCCTTTGACCCAGCAATTCTACTCCTGGGAATCTACTTTACAGCAGGACTTCCCTAAGTGTACGTGCCTTCTTTATTTATTTATACATGCATTATATATCATAAGCATTGTATGTGAACGCTTACTGCATCGCTGTTGGCAAGAGGGGAAAAAGTGGCAACTACCTACACGTTCATCAATAGACGGCGAGTTTAAGAAAGTATGGTATATCTAGACGACAGGGTTCTGCCCAGCAGCCAAAAGAGTAAGGTAAATATTACATCAAATGAAACAAAAAGATATGATGAATAATTAAATAATGTGAGTGTATATGTGTGGGAATGTTAATTTTTTTTTTTTTTTTTTTTTTTTTGAAATGGAGTCTCTCCCTGTCACCCAGGCTAGAGTGCAGTGGCGTGATCTCGGCTCACTGCAAGCTCCGCCTCCCGGGTTCACGCCATTCTCCTGCCTCAGCCTCCTGAGTAGCTGGGACTACAGGCACCCGCCACCACGCCCGGCTAATTTTTTGTATTTTTAGTAGAGACGGGGTTTCACCATGTTAGCCAGGATGGTCTCAATCTCCTGACCTCGTGATCCACCCGCCTCGGCCTCCCAAAGTGCTGGGATTACAGGTGTGAGCCACCGCGCCCAGCCCAAATTTTTTAAGTTCAGCAAGATAGAACCAAACTGTTCATAGTAGTTCTACTTTTAAGGAAGGAAATAGCTTGGAGCAAGGCAGGGAGGAGGGTGATACAACCTCTGCACTTTAAAGTTTCTATAATCTTGGCCTCTTTTATTAATATATTTATGTCTTAAGAAGTATGTATAACTTTTGTATGAATAATTTTTAAAGATGAAATCTAGAAAAGTAAAGTCAAACCAATGAGCCTGGGCATCTAAGATGACATCTGAAGCTTTTTAAATGTATATATTTATTTTTTTAGAGAGATGGGGGGTCTCACTATGTTGCCCAGGCTGGATTTGAACTCCTGGGTTCAAGCAATCCTCCCACTTCAGCCTCCCAAGTAGCTGGGACTACAGGCATGTGCCCGACAAAATCTGAAGCTTTTAATCCCACCAGGATATAAGGTTCTCTCTCCAAGCTACCATTTTTCTACCGGATCATAAAGTCCCAGGTCAGAGACTTACTTACCTAGTTCATGGCAATCCCAGGCATGTGCCCTAGGATGAGGCACTAACAGGCCCTCAAGGAATGCTGGACGGATCTGTGTTCACAGAGTTCTAGAAACAGCTCTGGATGGTGGCCCATTCCCTACCATCACCAATGTGGGCTAGAGATGAGCAAACAAGGTTGGGAACCACAGGCCTGGGGTTTCCATCTTGACACTCACTACATGTGAATGTATCTCGCTCAGCCTCCTCACCACGGAGAGACAGCGCTGCCCTGATTCAGGCAGAGGCACCTTCCAGCTCTAACTGGCTGGAGAACAGAATGCTGTGGAGGGGGAGATTTCGCTCGCATGGGAGACTTGAGGCCACAAAAGGCTGGAGAAGGCATGACTGAGTGGGAGAGAAGCTTGGGCCCGGCAAGCTAGAATGGGGGCGTTTCGGGGCGACGTGGAGAATCCCTGCAGGGCTCTGAACCCTGGAGCCACACGAGAGCAATGGGAATTTGGATAAATCTCCTCATTAATCTCCTCATTAATCTCACTCATCTAAACACAGAAATGGTATTATGTGCTTTTCAGAATCGCTGTAAGATTTAAGTGAAGTAACCCATGTACCCAGCACAGAACAGCAGCCGGAGAACCTATCTCCCACCTGATGTCTGGGGCTGAGGGCCCCACGGTGGGCACTGTTCTGTTTTGGGCCGCTTGTTGGAGCACTCCACAGACCAGGTGGACACTATGTACGCTGCTGGTTGGCTCGCAGGGCCTGCAATGCCGACAAAACTTGCCTGGAAACTGCAACTTTTTAGCCTACAGAAAATCACTTGGCATATGTAACATATAAGCTCCTATTTCTTCATCTGGCTACCTCTGCCATCCCTCAGGATGAGCAGACTGGGATCTACCGGTGCACAGACTGGGATAACCTTTTTAGAGGGCAATTCACCCCAAACCTCAGTCTCACCCCTAACGCTGCCACCATCTGTGTTCTCCTAGTAATCGATTCCCCTATACTTCGCTCCTTGTTTCTTGGTATTGAATTCAAATTTAGAGTTGCTGGGATTCACTTTCACTCTGGACTCTCCACTGCCACCCCTGACCCCCACTGCCCCTCCCTGGTTGAGGTGCAGCCCTCTCTACAAGTCACCCCGTGCTAGGGCAGGAAAGATTCCACATGCAGAGTGTGGTGCACACAACCAACATTCGCAGGAGGCGGAAACAGGCACTCTGTACTCACTGGCTCACTTTATGGTACAGCTTAGCAATGCCCTGGTGGGTCCAATCCTTCCCAAGGGTGGGCAAAATGTGGCCAAGAGTATCTGATCTAAATGAAGAGAAAAAGAGAAAAATAAAGTAAAATTCCCATTCAGGTTCATTGCACCATTCATGCCTCATTTAAAAACACACACACACACACACACACACACACACAAACAAGACCCACAACTTTCTTTCTGGATAGAAAGCCCAAGGCTCAAGTCATCAAAGTCGATGCTGACGGAGGAACATGGCAATCCACGGAAGGACGCCTCCAGTCTGATCATGCATCGAGGTGCCTGGCTTGCTGAATCAAAGGAAAAGGCCATTCTGAAAAGACGCTCTTGAGAAGCCCCCACAGAAGCAACCAAGTCGGAGAGATAATACCCTAGAGGGAAACAACCCAGCCCTAAACACAATGATTGACACCAAGGAGCTGAAACTAAGCAGCTCCAACTGCACCAGAATTCGAACCGTGCAAGTCCCATGAGGGGAGCGGAGGTGCCAACACCAGGCCCAGAGACCGCGCGGTGAAGCAAAGAAATCTACCATGGCCCCCAAGTCAGCAGGACCTACCTGGTGATCGTCCCGTCAATATCGGAAATGATGACTTTATCATCCCAGTTCCACAGATAGATGGTGCCCTCACAGCGGCAGGTGCCTTGGTACTGCGTGGTGACACTGAAAACCACGTCGTTGGGGCCATTCTTCAACTTCAAGCTTTTCTGAAGAACATGAACCATTAATATTTGTCTGCTTGAGTGAAAGGCCCTGATGGATGGGCATTTGGATTCTGTTCCATGAGAAGCAGCATTTGGCTTTAAAAACAAGGGGCTACCCTGGGCCTTTGTATAATTCTTTCTTTCCCCCACCCTTCCTTGTTCTGGTTCTTTCTGGGGTTGGACAGGCAAAACGAAACCTCAGCTCTCTCAGGCCCCCTTGTAATGCAATGTGCCTACTTGCTACAGAGTTGTTTTACTTCCCAGGATAGTGCTAATTTGAGCCAGTATTTTCAGATTAGAGTCATTAGCCAGGATTCAATGACGGGGCTATCCAGCATAATAAATCACAATTTTGGAATAGGATACATTTACCACTCCATGACTAAATAGGAAGGTCATGATTCAGGGAGACAAATTTAAGCCAAGTGTGAAAATACATTACCCTACATAACCATGTTTTTAAGTTATTATTATATTGACACAAATTGGAAAAAGAGAAGTCTCGGTTATCAGTTATGCCTCATATCCAGAAGAATATAGTCTAGACCCAAAGAAATCACACCAAATTCAAAATGCAAAGTGACTTTTGAGCAGTTTTGAGTCTCTGTGCCAGGACTCCTGGTGCATTCAGACTCCTGCCATTCAAATCCCCAGGTTGCCTGACTGCAGGTGTCCCCAGTGTCACCAGTGGGAGCCGTGAGTCACACAGAGACTCTCAGGCTGCAGGGTCCCACACATGGCCTGAGTGGGTGTCTGGGCCTGTTCCTTATCTTTTCCTAGTAAACACCCTCACCCCTGAGCCAGGCTCCCCACTAACTCAGGGGAAATGCAAAAGACTTGATTCACAAAAAACGCAAGGATAGGTGCCCACTGGCCATGACCAATGGGATCCAAGAAAGGGCTTTTAATTAAAACTGGTCTCACACATGGAAAAATAAAAGGACACCATGACCAGGTAATGCCCCTGGTTACCTGAAATTCTCTAAATTCTATCAGAACTGCTTGATTTCCACCAACGGAAGAGATGCATTTGAGTTAACAAACATCTCTCTCGAAGCAAAAACACCCTTGAGTGATTTTCAAGTCTATTCGTGATTGACACCTCAGGATGAATTAGCTCTGCCAGGCTGCCTTCCTCCTAAGGAAGGCCAGCAAAAGGAGAGGACAAAAGGGAAGGTCATATTGGGGACCCAGGCTGGATAGTGCTGGAGTTGGGGTGGAAACAACAGGCACCCAGTTAAGGGACTGCAGGCCCGCTGGGATGAAAGGTGACAAGGGGCACATCCCAACCATCACACAGCCTTAGGAGTCTGCAGAAACCTCATGTGCTTACAACACAGCCACGGCAAGCATGGGAGACTCACAAGCTGCTCGGAAGTCAGCCGGAGAGTCTTCTTGTAGCTGACGTTAGGCAGAAGAGGGAGGTGGCCTGAGTTTGATGGTTTGGCAGCTGCGCGCTCCTCATCACTGGAGGATGATTCATGCTTTACTCTGGAACACACAGTGATGTCATCACCAATTAGAAAATGCATCTGGGTAGCCACGAAAAATGCATTAGCCTTTAATCAATGACTAAGTCAATCCAGTCTCTCCTGAGTCCCGTCTCTTGGGTGATCATTTACCATAAGATGCTAAATTTATCAATGAACTCTCACTACATCCCCACTCATGCATCTCTTGCATTACACATGTGGGGGCTGCCTCTCCTCATTCACTTGCCTATTGATGAGCTACAATCACTATTTTAAGCCAACAGGTTCCTATTCATGACAAGCAGGGTTAAACTCCCTCTTGGCCTAGAAAGATGCTAACTGTCTTCTCTGTCTCTCTTCTCTTCCTATCTGTGACTGCAGGCCAAGCGCTTGGAGTCCAAGTTTCTACAAGTCCAAACTCATCCGTCAGTTGCCTGTATAAAGTTTGCCAAATATACAACTCCAAGGAATTAGGGACTTTCTAGGACTTACGGACAGGTGCCAGTGAAAGCAAGGAAGAATCACCAATTCTACCCCGCAAGATCCCCCAGAGGGTCATCCCATGAGCAAGGAATATGCCTTACTTCCCTGCTCAGAATATACAGGTCAGTGTCCCTAACTCCTCTAGACTTTTTTATTCAGTGGGGAGCTGGGAGGTGCAGGGTGGGAATCAGGCTCATTTTCTTTAAATAGTTCACATAAAGTATATCTGTAATTAGCTGTTCACTCAGTGAAAATCCCACTATGACATAATCCCCAACCCAGTAGTATTAGCTCTGCCTTCCAGGACCACTATCTTTGAAAATGCCTCAATGCTATATGAAGCACTTAGTAAATGCCTTAGACTAAATGGAAAAGGCTGAGTGCCCCGAAAGCAGCACATCCCAAGCCCTCCGGTACTTTGCCTTCCTACAAAGCTTCTGGCTCAGCACCTTCCTCTCGGCAAGGTTAGCGTATACACAGAGCTCCAGTTCATTTTTTTTTTTAACTGTTTTTTTATTTTTTATTTTTCTATTGACATATTAATTGTACATATTTATGGGGTACATGTAATATTCTGATAAATGCATACATTTGCATTTATCAAAATATCATGCATACCCTGATCAAACCAGGGTAATCAGCATATCCATCACCCCAAACTGTTATCATTTCTTTGTGTTGAAAACATTCCAAATCTTCTCTTCTAGCTATTTTGAAATTTATAATTACTGTTAACTATAGTCATTCTATGCCATCAAACGCCAAAACTTATTCTTTTCATCTAACTGTATGTTTGTACCCATTAACCAACCTCTCTTCATGCGCCTCTCCCCTCTACCGTTCCCAGGTCTGGTAACCACCATTCTACCCTCCACCTCCATGAGATCAACATTTTCAGCTCCCACATATGCGTAAGAACACATGATATTTGTTTGTCTGTGCCTGGCTTATTTCACTTAACATGATGACCTCCAATTCCACCTATGTTGCCACAAATGACAGGATTTATTCTTTTTTATGTCTGAATAGTACTCCACTGTGTATATGTATCACATTTTTCTTCATCCATTTATCCATTGATGGACACTTAGCTTGGTTCCATATTTCAACTCCTGTGAATAGTGCTGTGATAAACATGGGGGTGCAGGCATCCCTTTGACATCCTGATTTCCCTTCCTTTGGATAAATACTCAGTAGTGGGATTGCTGGATTGTATGGTAGTTCTATTTTTAGTTTTCTAAGAAATCTCCTACTGTTTTCCCATAATAGCTGTACTAATTCACATTCCCACCAACAGTGTTTAAGAGTTCCCTTCTCTCCACATCCTTCGGAGCATTTGTTATTTTTTGTGTTTTTGATAGTAGCCATGCTAACTGGGGTGAGATGCTATCTCACTGTGGTTTTGATTTCCACTTTCCTGATTAGTGATGTTGAGCAAATGGGACTATATCACATTCAACAACTACTGCCCAGCAAAGGAAACAATCAACAGAGCAAAGAGACAACCCGTTAAATGGGGAAGACACGTGCAAACTCCTCATTCAACAAGGGGCTGATACCCTGAACATACAAGGAACTCAAACAACTCAACAGCAGAGAAACCAATAATCCCGTTTAAAAGTGGGCAAAGGATCTGAATTTCACAAGAGATGTACCAGTGTGTGTCTTATCTTTTTATGTCAATAAACTCTCTCCTCTCAGTGCTAACTTCCTCTCATCCTACTGCCTCCTGTTTCCCCCGCCCTTGCCTCCCTTAAGATCTCCTATGCAACCTACAGCTTTCGGACCCCATAAGTGTTCATTTGAGAAGTGATTCCCAGCCTCACCAACACCGCAAAACCCATCTCTACAAAAAATTAAAAAATTAGCTGGGCATGGTGGCGCATGCTTGTAGTCCCAGCTACTTGGGAGGCTGAGGCAAGAGAATCACTTGAACCCAGGAGGCAGAGGTTGCAGTAAGCCAAGAATGCGCCACTGCACTCCAGCCTGGGTGACAGGGTAAGACCCTGTCTCAAAAAAGAAAAAAAAGAGATCCCTACAACCCAGTACTGCCCAATACTGGGGAGACGTGAAGGAGGACAGTGTTCCACAGCACCCTCACTTCTGTGGTGTTTCTAACGCACTTGTGTGGAGACCTGGCTCCTTCCAGTCCTAGAATGAGCAGGCCCTGCCTAAGCACCTGCTCCCTGGGCCCCAGGAAAGGGAGGTCTGTGGGCTTCAGGCTGCTGGCCCAGAGCTCGTTCAACCAACACTCAAGCATACCATGCCACGCATCAATGGCACAGCAAATAACCTATTCCTACTCACACAGGGCTTGTGTCTAAATCACAACACAGAGACCTGGGCTGAAGACAAAGATTTAGAGATCACTGGGACAGAGTCCTGGGGGAATATGCCATGGCAACAGGAGGCTGAGTTGAAGGAGAACAGAGTATCGGCTAGAACTGTGGTTGGTCTGTGGCGGAGCTAAGCTACACGTGGATGGAACAATGCCATGACACTGGGGGCTGATTCTGATTCTAGGTAGCGTGGAGATGGCACAGCAGTTAGACTCTGAAAAACACAGATTTCCAGCCCTTGGTAACTTCAGGCTGTATTACCTTGGAGAAATCACTTCTTCTTTCAGCCTTGATTTCTTATCTTAAAATGCAGAGGAACAACTGAACCACATCCACTCAAAACTTCAGGATGCAGGCAGGTAACAGGCTGGAGAGACCTGGACCGGGAGACCCAGACATAAGCCCCAGCAAAGGCCGCATCCTAAAACATTCCTCCCTGGGCCTCAGTGGGTTCCTCTGTAAAATGACCTGGTCCGACCAAAGTCCCTTCCAGTTCTGACACCTACAGACCCTATGAACCAGGCTGGTTCTTCTGAACCAACAACCTGGAGGTTTTCAGACAGTGTAGATGTGGTCCTGGAGCCAGTACAGCCTGGCAAATGCTGCTAGGGACGGGGAGCAGTGTAGATTTCCTTGTCAAGCAGAAGAAGAAAGAGGCTACAGGCCCCTCATTGAATGGGAAAATGTTTATGTTCCAACCAAACAGTTTGGAGTGAAATGAGATCCAAATGTGAAGCAAAGCTCTTGGTGACAACAGATTGATGTGTACCTCTGCCGGCGGGATGAGGAGGCAAGGCGGAATGGCTGTGATTTCCATCTGCTGCTTTAAAAAAAAAAAAAAAACCCACTAAATTTGTGCAGCATGCCATGTTTGAAGGCACACAGAAAGGAAAACACAGATACAAAGACTAAAATGCGAGATGTGCAGTTGGCTGCTGGTGGTTTCGGCTTAGGGCAAGTACACGGTCATTGGCGGCTGCCACGTCCCGGATCGCGCCACCCTGCACAGAATAAAATGCCTCCTTTTCGGAGGCCCCCACCCCACCCCTTACAATGGCTCATTAAATGTTGCTTGCTTTACAGTATCTGCAAGAAGCAACAAAACAAAACAAAAGGGCTCATGTCATTTGAAAATGTGTGCACAGAAGAGTAGCTGTGAACAACATCTAAGTTAGCACTTGTCAGTGTACGTTTTTCAAATGGTATTTTAATTATTTGTATGGTGACAAGCTGTTTGCTCAATTATGGGACTTCGGGGACTGTTACGTCAATCAAGTCTGTCAATTAGGAAAACATTCTGACACCTTTTTTTTTTTTCTAGTCAACTGCATGACTCTAATAAGGAGACTCAAAGTCTGAGATGCCAGTACAAACTAAAACGTTTACATTTTTCACGAGAACTTTATATTCTTTTCAAAATCTGAGTTCTTTTTCACAAGAACCAATTCTTAATTTTTCAGGTTTGATGACGAACCACAGTGTGACTAACTCAGAATAGCGAATGGTCCAGCTGTTTCTATTTGACGGGGAAAAGCATTTTTTGCCCACATTTGAATATGATTGTATCGGACAGTGAGAAAAATCCGTGACACCCCAAGTAAACTGCAAGAGCTGAGGTTCCAACTTGGGAAGAGCTGCAGAAGTGTCTCGCTGCTCTCCCCACTCTCCTGGAGTCCCGCCTGCTATGGCTAGAAGGAGTAAGAGTAAGAGCAGTGCTGGCACCAGCGATGCCACTGTGCCCGCTGTGTATGGGCCCCTCCCAGTGGCTGTCCTCTTCCTTCCCTTGTAAACCTAACTCTGACCCTCAGGCCCATCTTCCCCTAGGTCTAAGACTGGCTATATTAGTCTGTTCTCACACTGCTATGAAGAAATACCCAAGACTGGGTAATGTATAAAGGAAAGAGGTATTAATTGAATCACAGTTCCACATGGCTGGGGAGGCCTCAGGAAACTTACAATCACGACGGAAGGCAAAGGAATAGCAGGCACCTTCTTCACAGGGCAGCAGGACGGAGTGAGTGCAAGCAGGGGAAATGCCAGATGCTTGTAAAACCATCAGATCGCATGAGACTCAATCATCATCACGAGAACAGCAGCATGGGGGAAACGGCCCCCCGATCCAATTCCCTCCATCCGATCCCACCCCTGACACGTGGGGATTTGGGGATTATAATTCAAATTTGGGACATTTGGGTGGGGAAACAGAACCAAAGCATATCATTCTGCCCCTAGACCCTCCCAAATCTCGTCTTTTCACATTTCAAAACCAATCATGCCTTCCCAACAGGTCCCCCAAAGTCTTTTTTTTTTTTCTTCAGATGGAGTCTTCCTCTGTCACCCAGGCTGGAGCACAGTAGCACGATCTTGGCTCACTGCAGTGACCTCTGCCTCCTGGGTTCAAGCGATTCTTCTGTCTCAGTATCCCCCGAGTAGCTGGAATTACAGGCGCATGCCACCATGCCCGGCTGATTTTTATATTTTTAGTAGAGACGGGGTTTCACCATGTTGGCCAGGCTGGTCTCGAACTTCGGACCTCAGGTGATCTGCCCGCCTCGGCCTCCCAAAGTGCTGGAATTATAGGCGTGAGCCACCGTGCCCGGCCCAGTCCCCCCAAGTCTTAACTCATTTCAGCATTAACTCAAAGTCTACAGTTCAAAGTCTCATCTGAGACAGGTCCCCTCTGCCTATGAGCCAGTAAAAAAATCAAAAGCAAGTGAGTTACCTCCTAGATACAATGGGGGTACAGGCACTGGGTAAATGTACCTGTTTCCAATGGGACAAATTGGCCAAAACGAAGGGGCGCAATCCCCATGCAAGTGTGAAATCCAATACGACAGTCAATAAATTTTAAAGTTCCTAAATGATCTCCTTTGACACCATGTCTCACATCCAGGCCATGCTAATGCAAGAGGTGGGCTCCCACAGCCTTCCGTGGGCACTGCCAGAGGGCGGGAAGGACTTGGCAGACATCTCGCATTTAGCCCTCAGAGTCTATTTTAAAATACTTGAAACTCTATGGTTTGGGACTGAACGCGTGTCCTCCAGGTGACCACAGAGCCACCCTCCCCGATCGGTTTCTGCACTCTGGATCATTTTCTCATGAAGTTGCCGCAAAGACCCAGTGAGATCGGGTCTACTGCATCGGTGTTACTCTTAATCCCATTTCACAGATGGAGACGCTGAGAGGTGGATTAATTTGCCAAAGATCACACTGAAGGCTGTTGGACAAGGTCCCTGCTCTACATCCTGCTCTGTGCTACCTCTTGTGTTTAGAAATTATTGCCAAGACAGAGAAGGTTATTAAAATGAATTCCAGGAAAATGGGGCATTTCTAGTGTAGCTATTTAAGTTGGTTTAAGTTGCTGAGAGCACCCAGTTTTGCATCTTTCTTTGTGTGCCTCTTTCGGGGTAGCGTGCCTCCACGCAGCCTCCAGGTCAGCTCCATCCCAGCCTGTCTGGGCACTGACGGTGGCACTGGCATCTTTGCTCAGATGTGTCAGGGAGCTTGCCCGAGGTCCAGTGGTTACCAAGGAGCACAGCTGGGATTCCAAACCAGACCTGCCTGACTCTAAAGTCGGCTGCTTCCGCTACAGCTTGCGGAGTAAACAACCACTTATTTTTAAAATGTCTGGTTTCCATGCTGGCTGCTTGACGGGTCACTCAGAGGGTGGCACGTTCTTGGCCTGGGCTCCATCCTCAACACACCTGCCTTTTCCCTTCCAAGCGCACTCACAGCCAAACTCAGAATTCCCAGCTGGGAAATGTCGAGACCCTGGTGCCTTCCCATTCTTTCTTGTGCCTGCGAAGCACAGACCAGGGGTGGGTCAGCGAGGAGGCACCTGGGACACCACCAGGGGAAACGGAAACATTCCCCTTCAAGAGCATCCCAGGCGAGAGCGAGCCAGGCCATTCACAGGCACATTCAAACTCAGCCCTGCCAGGTCCCACAGACTCGTCTCCACCCTGTTCTTCTCCACAGAGAACAATAAAGAAATCAGATCATTTCCTACCTGCCTCCCACCTGGGTTTCTGTTTGCAGTAAAGACTCCTAGATGTAAAATTGTTTAAGACGCAGAGCCATGGCCAGGATTCAGAGGAATGGAAATCCACGCCTGCCTCTCCCATAAATCAACAACACATGGAGAAAGCCTCAGTGGTTCAGTGATGGTTGAGCAACACTTTGGAAAGGCTACTCTGCGGGGCAGTGGCCTCCAAGATACAACAACAAGTAAGATGTGGATCTGGCCCCAATTAATCTGTTAGCACTTTCTGTCTGCTAAATAAGAAATGGAATCCTGGATTTCTTAAGCACGGAAATACTGTAAACATGAAGTAATAAGTAAAAGATGGTACAGAGCAAATCATCCAGTGTCAGTATATGATACCTGCATCATAATTAGTGTATAATTGGACTGTCCTCAGAGTCACCTCCAACCCCATACAAAGAGATTAACCTGAAGACAAACCACAAATACTGATCAGTATCATCAAAATCTAACCTCTCCTACGCCAAGTGAATATGAATCCACGTTAAAAGTAACAACGTAAGTCCTGGTCAGCATTTAAATTGCAGAGAAAGGCAAGTTCCTTCAGAAGTGAAACTTACTTCCATGTTATCGTTAGGGCTATTACTTGTTACTGTCATCACTGACATTATTCTCACTGTTACTATTGTCATTATTGTCATCATCATCATCATCTTTGTATAAAGGACAATCACATGCCAGGACCATGAGAAATGCTCTAGTTATATTATCTCACTTAAGGCTCACATTTATTTTGCAGATTAGCTATCTAAGGGGGCAACTGCATCCATTTCGCTCATGGGAAAACCAAGTTAAATAAATTGCTCCACGTCACCAAGTGAATCACAGAGCCAGAGTTGGAACCGTGTGAACCCTAGGGGCATCCAGGCGGCATGTGCCATGAACTTGGACGCTGCAACATCCCAAGAAGCCTCCTACCGCACCTGGTGGCCATGCTGAGCTGCGGTGGTTGCTCTCCGGTGCTACGTCCGTTGCCAGCCAAGCACTGCTCTGGCTTACTCTCCTAGAGAAGGAGAAAAGAAAGAGTCACAGAAGTACCACAGAGAAGGGGCTTGCAGGCAGCTGGTGTTTTCCCATGAGCTTGCTTAATGCAGGATCCCTGAAGGTAGACCCTTCCCCAAGGACGCCCACCCTAGCGATCGCCCCAGGAGGCTCTGGCTGTGTTTATTTCAGTGGGTCCTGATCGCTCCTTTGCTAAGAAGTATACGATTAAACCAAGAAATATTTTTGACAGAAATGAGTCTGTTATCCGTGAGTGTTTGTGGCATCAAACCAAACTCCATCATCACTGTAGCTTATGCAAACGCTTGATCAAGGGCTGCTTGGATTCTGGGGGCCTTTCAAAATATTTTCTTGAAATTGCTGATAGAAATGCTTGAAAATATTTTCATACCATATTTTGCCTGGGGAAGATGTGAAAGCATTTTCTTCTTTTCCAAGATCACATACTCTTACTAGAAAATCCTCTGTTGGTGTACTGGAAAGAATCTTAGATTTCTAAGAGAATACCTGGGCCCAGTCTTGTCTCTCTTGCTTACAAACTTTGGGCAAGTCATTTAACTGTTCAGAACTTCGCTTCCTCATCTGTGAAACAGGGGTGATATTCTCCATCTCCTAACGCTGCTATGAGGACTAAAGGAGACTCTGTGTCTGAAACACAAAGCTAGGCACACAGCAGGCAAGGAAGGACGGAGATGGGCAATGGCCCTATGGACAGAAGAGACCAGAGAGAAATGCCAAGGGACCAGGGGTAAATGACTAAATCTCTTTATCCGTGCTCGTTTCATCAGGAGATAGGTTAACAATTTCTACTACGGTCCTTTAATAAAGAAAATGAACAATACAAACAACATAATAGGGTGACTGTCTTAACATACGATTAGCATGAACTAATTTCAAATACCCTTTAGGTTTTTTAATAAGCACACAAATAACTGATATAATGTGTCCAGTTATGTTTTATCTATTTATCATGTGACTTAGCCACCACTATTAGCAATTTCTTCTTAGGCTATTTCCCAAATATATATCTAACTGAAATAAGTATGTTTTAGATTTTTAAAGAAACACTTAATTTCATAATTGTTCCTTACTTTATATCAGCACTCCACTTAATTCAAACTGGTGAGAATTTGGATATTCTACAAAGAAGTCACTGAAATATACTTCCACCTTAAATTCTAGAACATTCTGCTCTCTAGTAAGAAAACTAGAGAGGCCCTTCATGCTTTACGGCCTCTAGTATAAAGTATATATATTTGCACTCATTTGTCTGTAGCCCTTGGAGATCAGTAAAACTGATAAGACGACCTCAGATATGCTAATAGAAAACGTCAAAGAACAACTATATCTTGATAAAACTCTTCCAGCAAATGTTTTCCCTTTCAACTAATGGCATACATAGAGTTCATGGCAGTTTATGATTAAAATAACCAATTTGACTGTTGTCCCTGTGGCTTCTTCATACTACTTTCCGAGAGTAATCAGCACACCCTCAACAAATATTTGCTGTACCCCTACTCTGGGTCCAATATGGGGGCCAAGAACACCAAAGCAATCAGAGCCATACATGGTCTCTGCCTCATGGAGTTTTGGGTCTAGACAGAAAGGAAAGGTTCATCACATAGTCACACTAGTGATTATATAATTATCAACTATGACAACATTTATGGAGGAAAAGTTCACAGGCAGAGGACAGCAGACCAGACTCACATGCAGAGAAAGGGCTACTGGATCTGCTAGTTAGCTAAGCGAAGCAGGGGAGAGGGGTCCACAGGATACTACGTAATGAAAACAGCATGTGCAAAGCCCCCAGGGTAGAAGGTACCTCCAGCCATTGAAGCTAATGCACAGAGAGCAGAGGAAAACAGCAAAGATGAGATTAAAGAGGCAGGCAGGAGCTAGAACACACAAGCACTGTAGGTCGTGGTAAGGACACCAGCCTTCATTATAAGAGCCCTGGGGAACCACAGTAAGGCTTTAAGCAAGAAGCAACATAAATGGCAGCAGTCCCCTAAAGAGACCAATGTATCCGCAGTACAGAGAATGAAGAAGCAAGGGTGAGGATGGGTGCAAAGAGACCATCTGGAAGCACCTCTGGGAGAGATGACGGTAGTGCAGATTCGTGGGAGTGGAGCTGGAGAGACATGGACACGTCAGATAAGTATTTAAGATGGAAAACTGATAGGACCTGGTGTGGGAGTGAGGCTAAAAGCATGAATCTCACCCACGGATGGACAGTGGTGCCATTTTCTGACTATGGCCCCAATGATGGAAGAACTCACAAGAATCCCGTGAGTTCAACTCTGGAAGTGTTAAGTTTGAAATACCTTGAGGCATCCGCAGGACAATGTCTGCTTAGTTGGCTACTTGATAAATGGATGTGGAGTAGAAAAGAATGTCCGGTTTGGAGACAACAATGGAGTCATCGCATGGGCAGAAGGGAAAAGTAAGAAGTAAAAGGAGAAAACGCAGCCTAACATGAGCTTTGAGGACCCTCCTAGAGGTGACTAAGCCAGAGCGGGAGCAGCCTGCCGGGAGGAGGAGGCCCAGGTGGACACAGGGGACTGGGAGCCAAGCGAAACAAGTGCTTCAAGAAATAGGAGACGGCAACAAAGATCTTAAAGAAATCACAGGCACTCATAAGTAAGGCCAAAGCCATGGACCTTCAGACATTCCATTTCAGTGAAAGGACTCAGAGAATTAGTCAACTGCTATAAGTATATATACCTCATTAAAATTGTCCTCACAGGCAAGGCATGGTGCCTCACGCCTGTAATGTCAATGCTTTCAGAGGCCTAGGCAGGCAGATCACTTGAGCCCAGGAGTTTGAGACCAGCCTGGGCAACATGGTGAAACCCAACTCCGCTAAAAATGCAAAACTTAGCCATGCGTGGTGGTGCACGCCTGTAATCCCAGCTATTCTAGAGGCTGAGATGGGAGGATTGCTTGAGCCCGGGAGGCAGAGGTTGCAGCGAGCTGAGATTGCACCACTGCACTCCAGCCTGGGTGACTGAGCGAGCCCATTTCAAAAAAAAGAAAGGAGGGGAGAGGAGGGGAGGGGATGAGAGGGGAGGGGAGGAGAGAAAAAGAAAAAGAAAAAAAAATTGTCTCCACAAGCAGAAGGAAGATATTTAATTTCTTAAGAAACTGAATTCCCAAGGTGAATCCCTTCTTTTATAGATGACGAAATCTTACCATGAGGGAGTGACTTGACCACAGTCTCCTAACGGTTACAGAGCCAGGGGGTGACGCCTATGCTGCTGGCTCCTGACCTTCCTCCCCACCTTCCCCAAGTTCCGCAAGCCCCAGCCCCGCTTCATGGCAGACTTGGCTCATGAAAACTCAGCACTAGGGCCTATGTTCATTTCTCTGATGTAACTACATGAAAACCAATCTCACTACACAAAACCAAAACTTGCTAAGTGTGAGCACTGCTTTGTCTTCTGGGCTTACCTCCTTGATCGTGGTGTTTCTTCCCCTCCATGAAAACCACCATCTTCCTCCCTTTTTGGGCATTTTATCCCTCATGATAGATTCCACAGTGGCCTGTTTTAAATGGATGGTAACATAAATAATGGAACAAAAAAAGATCAACTTAGCACATTCAAACCAAAAGAAACATACATGCAAATTAAAGTAAGATTTAAAAAAAAAAAAAAAAATCAGAGAAAACACAACATACTATTTGTGGGTTAAAAATTTTAGAGAAGCAAAACCTAATGGCGTCCAAAATTACATGAAGGTAACTTAAGCATGAAGACTTAAGAAGATGTTAAAGGAATACACAAACAACAAATAAAATACAACACAACAACAACAACAGAAAAAGAAAGCATTAGAAATCATTAGTGATTAGTAAGACTGGAAGTTTTCAAATTAAAGTGGCTAACTGGTTATTATTACTCTCAATATGATTATAAAATAAAATATGAAATGATTAATATGGGGTAGAGGATAAAACAGTTTTCAACAAAAGGTAAAATGCATAGGATTTTTATGAAGTGTAAATTTCTAAACATTTACATTAATAGGTACATTTGATTTAAAATCTCAAGTATTAAAAAGAAAATTTATACTTTTAACTTAGGCAAATGAGTTTAATGGGGAGATTAAATACGAATTGATAATTTTCTACATTTTTTCCAAAGAACAAAATATCTATCTATCTTGAGGTTAATTCCAGGACCAAGGTAAAAGTCATGTAATGTCCCTTCCTCAATTTACAGAACTTTCAAGTAGCTGACACCTCAGCTAGTAATGAAAGAAAGACTTAGGCTGAAAGATTCAGTCTAACAGGGTGCAGGGAAGCAGATAGGTAAGTAATTTACTATGTAGCTTAAAAGATCTCTATCTGACACAAAAGAAAACCCAACTGCAGTAAAACACAAACCACTCATATCCAGTTCATAAATAGGACAATTCATAAAGCTGTCAATGACCCTATTTCCCCTAAATCTATCATAAATGTAACAAAACCACAATTAAAAAAAAAAAAAGCAAGCAAGCCACAGAAAGGAAAAAAACAAACAGGAGTATTTTCACTCCTTCACAAACTTGTTCTAATGTTCATTTGAAAAACAAACAAAAATAGCCTAGAAAATTCTCAGGTAGAAGAGTAGTAAGTAGAACAAGCACTATTGGATATTAAAATATACCTAAATATACTAAAAGAATGCAGTGTTGGTATACAAGGACACAAATCACAGGAACAGAAAACAAAAGTCCAGAAATAAATCTAAATTCACAGAGAAATGTAACAGAAGGTGAAGTTGTAAGTGCCTCTGAGTGGAGGATAGGGTTAGTTAACACACGGTCCTGGGATAATTCAGTAGCCACGTCAGACCCTGGAGGATAGGGTTAGTTAATACACGGTCCTGGGATAATTCAGTAGCCATGTCAGATCCTGTGAGCAGCTCACCTGCCTCCCCTTTCTTGCTGACAGATCTGAAACTGTTCAAGAATCAGGCTGCAATGCATGTGGAGAAGGCTGGCTCAACTCCAGAGGATGCACCTCAATGGTCGAAGCCATTCACTGTCATTTCATTACTTTGCCAAGAACTGCTTTAGAGGCAATCATGCGACCAACTTTGGCCAATGAAATACGAGCGAGCTGCCCCCACCCTCCCGTTTCAGATGTGGCGGTATGAGGAGATGATCTGTAGGGCAGTCATCTTGTGACCATCAAGGAAAAGCTGAGAAAATCACAAAGAAGCTAACCCAAATTCATCAAGCCTGAAACTGTCAACCTCCAAGATCCTTGTCATATGAGATTATTACTTAACCCACTTTTAGTCATTCTGTTTCCTAAAACAAAAAGCATCTTCACCAATTCAAGAATTTCCTAGGAAAAAAAAAAACTGGTTTGGTTCCCAATACCTCCCTCATTAAGCTCAAAATAAAATCTAGATGGATGAAAGATTTTAAAATCTTTCAAAATTTCCAAAACTTGTAAAAATACACCCCATATACAAGAAAGCACAAAAAGAAAATATAAGGCCTATCTTCACAAGTTTTAGAAATGGGGAAGCAGGGCCATTTTAAGTATGATACAAAACCCAACAGCCATAAAAGATAAGATGGGCAAATTCTACATTTAAAAATAATGTCTATATTAGAGAAATGCCATATATAGAGTCAAAAGTTACTGACTTGTAAAAAGATTTAGCATGCATATCACAACAACTAATTTAAGTTTCAGAGCCCATGTGGATTTCTTTTTCAGTGAATAAATAAATCCTTTAGCTATATTGCTATTGCAATGGGCTTTTTTCTTACGGATTTGTAAATGTTGAGAACAGTGACATAAAAATGTGTCCCAGGCCATGGATACCATGGCAGGGACAAAATAAAAACCACTCTGGAGAACATGCCCTCAGCCCAGTCCACAAAGGTACCCACAGATAAAGCACCATCCAACATGAGATTGCAGTCCTCAAAATACAACGCATGCACACACACACACATAGACACACACATGTACACATGTGCACATACACACACGCACACACCTGCACAAGTATGCACACATACACACGTCCACACACACGTGTGCACATGCTCACATGCAAATGCACACACATGCACATATGCACACAGGCACATGCACACACACTGACACACAGGCACAGGCACACACACACATACGCAAACCCAGGAAGAAGCAAGCCTAGACTCAACAAAGTCCGATTAGACCTTCAAGAATCTCAAGTGTTAGAACTGGCTGACCGACTGCAACATCCTAAGGCACACAAAAGCTTGCTAAGCACACAAAGGATACAAACAAGTCTAAGGCAATCTCTGCAGCAAAAAACGTATAATCTAGTAGGAAGATCTATCATTGAAAATTAACAATTCCCAGCTGACTGTCTGGTGAATTGTTTTGGGGAGGATAAAAACACTGCAGGCTGGCAGGTGGTGTGGCTGCCCTCCTACCTCTTCCCTGCGGCCACTTACCTACTCTCCCCTGCAGACTGGGAGCTGCCCAGGCCCTGTACTGGCTCCAGCCTCAGAGAATCAGGCATGGGGCCGGCTTCCTCGCTGAGCAGCACCTGACACTGGCACGGACACCTACGCCTGACCTCGATGCCTGCTCCACCCCTTCCAGGGTGACACTCATCTCCCTTTGTCCTCACTGGGCTCTGAGGTCCTGGCACCCGTCTGCTCAGCCTCCACCTGTGCCCCTTGCACGGCAGATATTGAGAAAGGAATCTTTGGTCCATGATTGGCAGGTTTTGCCTCGATAAGGAGGAGGGGGAACCACGTGCACGGTGCAAGAGAGAGATCTGAAACTCCTGGCCTGTATGCTCATGAACTTCAAAACAGCACAGTGGAATTAACTCTGTGGTTTCCACAATGAAAGTGAAATTCCAATCACCCAGATTAAGCCATTCATCATTTCTAGCATCCCCTTTTCTTTCTCATGTTAAAGCTCACCTTTGGCAAAGGTTTCTGGAAGGCCTGCATTGCCAGGAGGAGGGGTGCTGCTGTTGTCCAATTATAGTATCTAACACAAAACAACGAAACAGATGTCAAAAAACCGAGGATCAGACCGAAAACCTTTCCAATGTCATATAAAGTAGTCAAGGAAAGCTCAGGACCCCAGCGAGGTCCTTAAAGAGCTCAATACTCTTGCTAGCCCCCTCCTCTCCCCCAGGCAGAGGCTCCCGTCCACCTCACCCCAGCCGCTAGTGAGGGCCCAGCAGCAGCAGCTGTGCCAGCAGGGCAGACAGTTGGACATGCCAGCAGCCCAAATCCCACAGTACAGCTGCTGCACCAAACCACAATGTGCTTGGGGTATTTCTTGCCACATGTTAAGGAAAAGGCAACTAGGTGTAAAACATCCATGGCTTAAGGGAGAAAAGCTTGCTAACAGTCTGCAAAAATAACTGTACATCCCTTGCCCTCAGATAATGAAGTTTTCTTTTTTTTTTGTGTGTGAGACGGAGTCTCACTCTGTCACCCAGGCTGAAGTGCAGTGGCTTAATCTCGGCTCACTGCAAGCTCCACCTTCCAGGTTCAGGCCATTCTCCTGCCTCAGCCTCCAAAGTAGCTGGAACTACAGGTTCCCGCCACCATGCCCAGCTAATTTTTTGCTTTTTTTTTTAGTAGAGACGGGGTTTCACCGTGTTAGCCAGGATGGTCTCCATCTCCTGACCTCGTGATAAGCCCGCCTCGGCCTCCCAAAGTGCTGGGATTACAGGTGTGAGCCACTGCGACCGGCCAATAATGAAGCTTTTCAAAAGGGTGGAGATGTAGGCTACTCTGATATACCCATGTACTGCAAAGTGTGACTATTCACATTCAATAAGAACATCGAGCTGGGTGTAGTGGCTCACACCTGAAATCTCAGCACTTTGGGAGGCCAAGGTGGGAGGATCTCTTAAGCTCACAAGTTCAAGGCTACAGTGAGCTACAACTGCACTGCACACAGCCTGGGAGACAGAGCTACACCTCGTCTCAAAAAAAAAAAAAAAAAACTAGTAGAGATAAATACTAAAACTCACAGGACTGAGGGCTATCGGAACCTATCAGCTGTACTGCCAGTTCTATGGGCATGGAACTCGGACCACAGTGAAGGCATAATAAAGCAATGTAGCAAAGTCTTGATTTTATATATTTCTAAGGCTTAATGTCTAGGTCTATTTGAAAATATGAAACAGAAACAGTATCATGCTACTGCCAAAGTGACTTTCGAGAGGTACTTACTTACTCCCAATCTTTACCACGAGATTGGGGTCATCGATAATAGCGGGGTTGTCCACAAACTGTTGATACGACACAGCTTGCTCCAGGAATGCATCTGTGACAGCAATTGTAGAGGATCAGGGAAAAAGAAAAAGACAGATCAGCTCAAAATTAGGCCTACCTTTCATTCGCTCACTCACAAGTGTTTTCTGAGAGTTTGTGCATTCCAGTTGTGCAGACAATCCTATAAAATGTATTTGTAAAGGTCACGCCATTTTATCTGGAGGGCGGTGTCTGTGCAGCAATGCAAGGAGGCCAGGGCAAGTCTGAGGATGCTAGGGGACGTGTACCTTAGTTGGGGCACATACGTTCACACAGGGAGTAGGGGTGAAAACAGCATGCACGTGCATCTGCACAGGTAGAGTCATGGCTACGCAAGGCACCGAGGCCAGGCTCCCTCGGTTGAAGTCATGATTATTGGGGTGACCCTGGGCAAGCGGTTCACCTCCCAGGCCCCAGCTCCCTCCTCTAGCATGGGGATAATAACCACATCTGCTTCCTAGGGTGGTCATGGGGACTGATAAGGTCATGAATAGGAAGCACAGGGCCCTTTCGAAAATGGGGCCGCCTCCACCACAACCGGAAGCAGGAATGGCACTGTTCTCACCGCGCTGGGGCAGCCGCACCCGGATCAGAGCAGAGGAGAAGGTGGCAGGGTCAGGAGGCCCAGACCTCAGCCCTGGACGTTCTCAGTTCTTTGACCGGCTCTGGCAGCTGGGCTGTACCTTGAGCCTTGACCGTGGTTCTGACCATCTCCCTGGCCCGGAGCCATGCCTGCTCCTTCCCTGGGAGCTTCTATTTACCCTGAACCAAACCGAAACCCAGCAGACATCAGACACTAAGAATCTCCTCTGTCCAGGAAAAGAGTCCCTGGGTCATGATGCCAGCCCGACTGGCCTCGACATGTACCCTCAGAGCCCTCATCAGGACCTCCGGGGACTCTCCTGGGGTCTCCTGACTGTGACAATCTGGCCTCACCTGTAAGGACTGGACACTCGCAGATCCTGCCCCATGAGATAACACTCAGATAACGGCGCCCGGCCTCATCAGTGCTGCCACCCCATGCCCCCAGCTCATGTGTATCAGGGAGGGAACACCCAGGGGACTCAATGGGACACTGGTCTCCTCACGCCAGTGTCCAGAGAGTGCGCTCGCCCCCCATGACCTCAGAAACACAGTGGGGCTAGGCATTAATGCGTGGTCCTAGGAAAACTGAGTGAATGAACGGAGCTGGCGGGACCCAGCACACAATCTTGTTTCCGCTCTCAAAGGAATGGCTGGCAAAGGCACGAGAACAAAAAGGCCTCAATCTTTGTGGAAGAAGAAATTCCCAAAGCCTTGAAGGGACCAGGGCGGAGGCAGGAGTCTCAGATGGCAGCCCTGGGTGGAAGGGGAGATGCGGGTGGCTCCTGAGACGTAGAGGGAAGAAGTATACAGCCTGGGCCCCTTCCCTGCTAGAAATACTACCAGGAGATGGAAAAGAGGAAGTAGTGAGGGAGGGGGCGGGAGGAGTGCAGGGTGACTGTGTCTAGTCCCCGCGTCCATCAGCTGATAACTGCTGACTGCGCCCTGCTGTGGGGCTTGGGCACACCCTGCCATGGAATGTCAGGAGGCCCTGGCAGGGCATTGCTATGAATGTGGCAGTGCTATGAATGAATCACCTAAGCCCACCCTATTAACACCCTTTGAATCCAGCTGGGAAAAGTTCCCAGCCCTCCTCTGACCAACTCAGACCTCCCTGCTCCAAGGCGCCGGCACACGTCTCTCCCGCTGCCAACGCCCTCTAATTTAATTAGACTGACACCCCCCTCTAGCCTGCAGGCTTCTGGAGGCCGTCCCTGCAGTGCTCGCCTGGGGCACAGGGGACACATAGTGATGGCCTGAGCCATGTGTGACCCACAGAACTCTGAGGCCGGCTAACTGCAAGCTAGAAACATCGGGGTTACGAGTTCGGTGCTATCATTTGTGCTGTCATTAACCGCAACCAAGGGAAAAGCCGCCTTGACACCTACTCCTTGGAGAAGCCTAAGCCTCTGGGCCTTCTGACCGGCGGCCACCAGAGGGCGCCCGCGCGAGGCCCGCGGTACCTTTCGTGATCTCCCGGTGGTCGCTGAGGCCCCCGCAGAGGGAGATGGCGATGGAAGGGAGGTCCCTCAGCCCGTCCGAGGTGCTCTCCACGCCACTGTCCACGCCTGAGCTGCCCACAGACTGCGGGGACTGGTTGGCCGACCGGGCTCCGTTGTCGCTGGCATGTTTTGCGAGTCCGGAAGGGTCTCCGCTGGAAGGAGGAAAAGCGGCAGAGACCGGCTGAGGACTGTCTCAGTCCAGGGTCCCACATCGCCATCCAGTGATGCTCTGGCACGCGGCCACCCTCAGAGCTGCAGACGGCTGCATCTCAGCACAGATGTTGATTAAAGCACCACGACAAGGAAAGAGACATTTAAACGCCTTAGCTTAGGGGACAAAACCATTATTTCTCAGCCGGCTGCATCTCCCTGTATCCCCCTAAAATACACTGAAGAAGTAAGCTGTCCTCCCTGTTCCCTGCCCTTCCCCTCCAGGCGCCAGCCCTGCCGTAGATCGCAGGCGGACTGGGGGTGGGTCCCCAGGATCACGGGAGACCCTCCTGGGAGAAGAAAGGGCTGCACAACTGTCACTTATTGGGCTGTGGACCATGACCACTGTGGACAACATGACCTCAGGCTTCAGAGAGAGGGCAGTCTGGTGCCTGCGCCCCTGTTCCGAGGTGGGGACGCCGCCCAGTGCCCACACCCTATGTCCATAGAGAGAGCAGGTGCATTTTATGAGGCAATGGGAGCCTCCTGCTGCCTTTTTTTTTTTGAGAGGGAGTCTCACTCTGTGGCCTAGGCTGGCATGCAGTGGCATGATCTCGGCGCACTGCAACTGCTGCCTCCTGGGTTCCTCCTGCCTCAGCCTCCCAAGTAGCTGGGATTACAGGTGCATGCCAGCAAACCCAGCCAATTTTTGTATTTTCAGTAGAGACGAGGACTCACCATGTTGGCCAGGGTGGTCTCAAACTCCTGACCTCAAGTGATCCACCCACCTCAGCCTCCCAAAGTGCTGAGATTACAGGCGTGAGCCACCGCGCCTGGCTGGCTTGCACACTTTCTAATCAAACATAAGGGAAAACTGAGCTCACACAGAATGATATTCAGATTATCGAAAATGACATGAGGAATTAAGAGGAATTTTACTTTTTGGGGAAATACAGGGCCGCCACTTCAGGATCCATGTCTGTGAGGTCATCCAGGTAGACGCCGTCAGCACCAAGATGTCGGCTTCGTTTATCTAAAAGGGCGAATGGCTCAAGTTAGAAAACCACTCTTCTAGAAATGACCTCATGGCCTTGTATCTATAGAAACAGCATTTAAACACTATGTGCAGATGTGCTCCCAGGTACTCAAACTTCCTAAGAACCACAGTAGTTCCAAATGTGTTCTGTTTTGTCTGGTAAAACTGAATGGCAAGAGTTTTTTAGACAAATACTTTGAGGTTTGGGCACAGCACCGTTGAGGGTGAGTAGCTGGTTTTGATGGACTTCTTCCATGATGATGCTGGAGAAAGAGTGGATTGAGGTCACTCTTGTAGGTACCGAGGCCCCTCACTGGAGGCCACAGCCTGCGCTCTTCCCATTGGAAAATGGTAGGCAGTACAACATGACCGTAGACCACCAAGGTCCACAAACCAGGGCCGTCATCCACCATCGTGTGGCCAGGATCAAGTTAGTTAACTTTGCTGAGCCTCATTCCTCCCCTGTAAAGTGCCTGAAGTGTACTGAGCACTCAACGCATTGAGGCTATTACCATTATCATTACACTTATTATGAAATGATAAAAGCTTTCATTAGGCACTTCCCCATCAATACCCCAAGGCAAAGCATCCGACCCTGTGCATTGTCAGACACTGGGTATGATGACTTCAAATGTCCTCTTTACTTCCGGCAGAGAATGATGTAATTGGTCCATACAATTCTAGAATACCACACGAAGCTGCTGGGTGGATGGAGATCAGGCCTGGCATCATTGATACTGACACACAGCCAGGAGTGCATTAAAGCAACGCAGAGCGCCACTGCGTGCCAACCACTATGCCAAGCACTGAGGAGAGAAAGGTAAGTTAGATAGAAAGGACTCTTGATCTCAGACTATGGGGGAGTTGGGCAAAAATACATCAATAAAATAATGATCATTTGAAATCATGATAAATGGTATGCAGAAATTACAGTGGGTAAGGGGCTGGAAAGCAACACAGGTCAAGAAGAGAGGTGGCCAGGATTAACCTAATAATCAGCTTTATTAAAGTCACATTTATGGGTCCCATGGTGTGCTGAAAAGGACTTAACTCTCCCAGGTCTCAGCAGCCTCGGTGTGTAAAATGAGGAAGTTTGCTACATGATCCTCAAGGCCTCCTTCATGTCTGATTTCCTATGACTAAATTCTGATAATTAAAAGATTCCTCCGAAGAGCACAGACTGAACATGATCATTGTCATAGTTCAGTTTCTACCTCAGTTTCTTTGGAACTTTGCAAAGGACCTGTCATTTGTAGAGTGAGCACAAACTATGAACAGGAAGACAGCCGGGGAGCCCCAACCTTCATACCTTTTTTCCTAGAAGGAGAATCCGTCTTGTTTGCTGTCTGGACTACACTGGCAGACGGGGGTTTGAGCTCCTCGATCATGGGCAAGAGTGGCGCTGCTGCTCCTAAGGTCTCTAGGTCTTCCTCATTCACAAACTGCATTTCTGTCTGAGGCTTGTTCTGGTCCAAAAGCGCTCCCCCGGCCAGAGTTGGCGATTGGTCACTAAAAGTGTCTGAAGATTCGCTGTGAATGGCCTGAAAGTGACTTTTATCACAGATTTTTCTAGTGCTCAATGGGCTGGACTCTTTCATCTTGTGTGGAGAGGAAGACTAGAGCAAAGAGGAGAGAGGGACAGAGAGAGAGAGAAGGTCAGCACAGAGGCAACCAGAAAAACTGGACAGAGAACAAGAAGTAATCAAAAGTAGGCAAGAACTTTTAAGCCTCGGGAATCACCTGGTGATTTCTATAACTGCCAAAAAGTCCGGAAACCAAGAATATTAGGTCCAAAGCAAATGAACTTTCCTGTAAAAAACATCAACTGCCAAAGAGAAGTGAGATTAGCAATGTCAACAGACAGGAGCACCCTAAATGCTCACTGTTAGATGACAAGTCTATTCACACATACTGGGATTCTCTGTGGCCATGAGAATCAATGAATTACAGCTACACCAACAACATGAATGAATCTTGCAAAACTAATCTCTGCTGTTAAAATCAAGTTTACCCTTGCAAGGAGCAGAGGGGTCAGTCTGAGCAGTGACCACAAAGAGTGGCGGTTTCCACGCTGCTGGTCATGCTCTGCTTCTCAGTCTGGGTGCACATTGCACAGATCTGTTCCTGCTGTGAAAATGTATTGAGCTATACATTTACAATCTGTATTTTTCTGTATGTGTATTTCAATGAAGTTTACTCCCAAAACATGAGTGAATAAGTCAAGATTTGGTGATGGTTGGTTCACATGAGTGAGAAATTAGCATTTCTGATTCTACCGCAAGAGGGATTTCCAGTTACAGAAAAGATTTATTCAAACAAAACCCAAAATGCAATTCATGGGCTAAAAAGAGGGGAGAAAGTATTCACTTCTCTATCTGATCAAACAGCTTCAATGAAAATGAAAACAATGCTAACAGAAAATCTGCGGTTACAACTTTTTGCCCGAAGAAGTGATGGATTTGCACTTCCACGCTGTTTCTCCAGCAACTAATGACATCAACTTGCAAAGAGAGTTGGCTGGGTCAGCACCATAGCTGTGGACAGGGAAATCAGCATTTTCTGTGAAATCTAAATGTAACCTAGAAAGGAAATGGATCCACAACTTTGGCCTCAACAGACTACTCTCCAAAAAGCTGCCCATCTTGACTCTTTATAAGGAATGTTTTCAATAGTCATTCACTCACTCACTCACTCACTCACTCATTCATTCATATCACCAACACTTATTGGGGATGCAAGAGGCTATAGCATCTTCTAAGGACCTTACAATATTTTTTAAAGCTTGTGATATAATAACATAATTCAAGATGTTTATAATACATTAGCATATCAAGTAAAATTTCTTGAAAGAAAAGACTGTGTTCATTTCATGTTTTTAGAAACATATTTGTTGAACCAATTATGTACCTACATGTAAACCCACTGCATTTCCAAGATAGGGAAACTGAGGCTCAGCATGCATGTGGCACAGCCAAGGAGAAAGAATGCAAATATTCAGAGGGCCTACAGGTGCCAGATACTTCACATACCTACATTAGCTCTTCTAACCTCCCAACAATTCTGTCATTTTCTCACCATTTTACAGATGAAGACACTGAGGTTGAGGGAAGTCTACTCATTTGCCCAAGGTCACCTTTCTAGCAAGTGGTGGAGTGAGGGCTCAAACCCAGAATAGCTTGCTGCCTCCCAGGCCCTCATTCTCTCTGCTACACTCAGCTACTTCTCTATGTATTTTGGAGATATCTATAGGGTCAAATTCAGGGTCCCACCAACAATGAGGGCCCAGAAATACTTACTACTTGATGAATCAAAACCTTAAGGTTTTCTGACTGTGTTTATCTATCAGGCTGAAATCTTTCATTTCTGTTCTATTAGCCTTTCCCTCTCCCAGGGCTCTCCCAGGTGTCTCTCTCTGAGGGACACACGAACATGTGGATTCCAGTTCTCACAACTCAGCTTCTCTTTCAATGGGCCAAGACTCCACATCGCTCTCCCTGTGGCTTTGCTCCAGTCATCGCTGACCTAGCAGAATCAAGAGCTGGAAGCTATTTTTGTTTACAGTTTCAAGACAGCAAGATTGTGTGTAAGTTGTATTTCTTTAATTTAATTTGCATTTAGCTGTGATAGAAAATGTGGATCCTGGCTGGGCACGGCAGCTCACGCCTATAATCCCAGCACTTTGGGAAGCCAAGGCGGGTGGGTCACTTGAGGTCAGCAGTTCAAGACCAACCTGGCCAACATGGTGAAACCCCGTCTCTACTAAAAATACAAAAATCAGTGAGGCGTGGTGGCACGCGCCTGTAATCCCAGCTACTCTGGAGGCTGAGGCAGGAGAATCGCTTGAACCCAGGAGGCAGAGGTTGCAGTGAGCCAAGATAGAGCCATTGTCCTCCAGCCTGGGTGACAGAGTGAGACTCTGTTTCAAAAAAAAAAGTAAATCCTAAGAGGAATCCCATAGGTTTAAAATCTACAAAAGCAATGAGACCTCTATAATGTTGGTAATGTGGAAGAAAGTAATTCCAACATTCAAGGCTAATCCTTAATATATTTTGGTTTACCTCTGGCTCCTGGTAGCTGTGTTTCTTGGCTATGCTATGATACTAATTCCATGTCATTTAAGCTAAGTTAGAAATCTTCGGTCCGGGGCAGAATTGAAGAGACGCTCACCTTAGCAGCCTGCGGCAGCTCTCCCCACAGCCAGAGCATTTCTGGATTCTTCTGCCCCGTCCTGTCCGTGGACTTGCTGACCAATTCTGAATCACTTTTAGGTGTTGAAGGTCGGGAACCGGAAGGACTTAAGAAAACACAAAGCGAAAATTAAGGTGGGAAAAGAAACTTTTGTAAATGTTTTGGGCCCAGCTCCATGGCTCAAATAGCCCGGAAAATGCACCCCCAGCTGTCATTCGCTCTGAGCAGAGCCTCATGACAAATCCCTCCTCCGGCCACCAGGGGGCAGTGCAGCGCGTCCCGTGGAAGGCGCTCCCCGTGGGTCGCCCGCCACACCCTGCCGCCTGCTGCACCGCGGAGAAAAGTATGTTTTACAAAAGAAAGAGATGGAAAGAGAAAGGGAAAAATAGTCTGTTCTCACCTCAAAAAGACCACCCTTCCCCACCCCACTCTGCACTCGCATCTCCTGCATTCTGCTTCCAAACCAAGTTCCTCTGCTGTCACAGGGCTGCAAAAGGGTCTTGGTTGGCTCGGGCAGGCACTCATTAGAGTCTATATTTTAAATATTTATAATCTGCACTGGCCTCGGACACACGGAATTATATCATATGCCAGTTTTACCAAAGATGCTGGATGCCACAAAAAAACTCGATAATGTTGGGCAGGAGCCTCCAAGTTGAAATTTTCTAAGATCTTATGTCTTCCAGGAATACTTGACAAGGGACTCACCAACTGGCTAAGGCTCGCTCAGTAACCACCTCCATGTTTCCTGAATTTTTACTCTGAAGACCCAAATGAGGTCTTACTTCTGCCCAGCCAAAGTAACCATCCAAAAGTCACTAACTTATCCACAAGATCCTCACCGTATTCTAAACTACTTAGAGAAATATTATTTACAGCAGGAACTCTTGTAATTATTTATTGTCACGTAATAACATGGTTAATTATTGCTTATTTTCCCGCATCATTTCCTCTAGAGGAAGACCGCAGAGTTTTCAGACAAAGCAGGAAATAAAGCTTTGCAGTTTCCCTTGCCACCTTCTTTCCCAGACCTTATCTATTCTTCAGAGACTGATGCTCCTCGTCTCATTTATCTTTGAGTTAGGGTTCAACTCCAATTGAATACAGCTTTCCTGTCAATACAAGGTGAATTCATGATAATCCATAACTTGTATCCAACAAACAGGGACCCTATGGGCTAAACTGATCCTGAATCTCTTTGCTCAAGCTGCATAGAGTAGCTAGACCAAGCGCCCCCTCTCTCATCTCACACGGAGAGGCAGAGGGTGGTCCCTGCTCCCTTGGTGTCCCCGACTCCCAGCCCTTCTAACGACGTGCTGCCACAGGGTAGCCTGTATGCTCTCTTTCTCCTGCCTGGGGAGAGGAGGCTCCTGACATCACACTAGGAGAGCTTCTGCAACGGGACACCCTGCTTCCGACAGACACACATTTCTGCCCTTTAGGGAGCAGTCCTACGAGAAGGCACGTGGGGTCCCCACACACCCATGTGGGAAAACCTCCCGGCCTTTCAACCTCCTTGCTCCTCCAGTTCTACAACTGGACTTCTCCAAAGAGACAACGCTTTTATGGCACTGAAGCATCTACAGTCACATGTCCAGTATCACTGCAATGGGAAAAGCGCAGGCTGTGGCCTCCAGCGAGCGGCCTTGGTACCTACAAGTTTGACCTGAATCCACTCTTTCTCCAGCATCATCATAGAGGAAGTCCACTGAAACCGGCTTCTCACCCTCAATGGTGCTGTGCCCAAACCTCAAAGTATTTGTCTAAAAAGCTCTTGCCACTGTTTTACCATACAAAATAGAACATATTTAGCTGTAAGTTCTTTGGCGCAATAAATTATCTCACTGCCACTAAATGAAATAAAGTCCTTTAGACAAAGTTTGCTCTGCGCAGGGGTCAGCAAACATTTTCTGTAAAGAGCCCAGTGGCAGATATCACGGGCTTTATGGGTTTTATGACATCTGTCGCAACTACTCGCTGCCGTGGTGGTGTGAAAGCAGCCACAGCCAGTATGTAAACCAACTGCCTATGCCCGGGAAAGCTTGACGGAGGCAGATGGTGGACCAGATTTGACCCATGGGCCGTGGTTTACCAACCTCTGCTCTAGAAGAACAAAAATGTGGAACACAGTTCTCCTGCAGCGATTCCCAACTCCAGAGTTCCTAACATTCTGGTCCCTTCATAAAAGCCGCAAGCCACGCAACAAAGCCGTAGAGAAACTCAGGCGTGCCAACTCATGCATAAGGAGCCCAGCCCTACACGGAAGTCTAAGCTGCAAGTCCCTCCCCGACAGCAAACAGGCCACCACCATAAATGCTGCCCGTTCAGGCCACAGCAGCCCTTCTTCAAAGGTCCTGTGCACAAATACAGATGCGCTTTCTGCCGACCGTCACTGAGGGAATTCACACGGACCGAAGACGACCCAGGAACGGGGCCCACTGCCAAGTGGGATTTACCAGAAAGATGACTCCAAAGTGCTCTGTCATCAAATATTATTATTTTAAGATCAAGGGGTTGTTCAAAAAAGTAAGCTTACAAGGTCGATGACTGATGTTCATAAATAAGGTATTTATTAGCCTTATCAAAGTTTTCAGTATTTTTGCCAGTCCCAATGAGGCTAATTAGTTGTAACTGTTTACGACTTTGTTTTCCTCATTTTAAACGGACTTTTCTTCTGCAAATGTAGCCTCTGAATGAAGTACATCCTGAGGTCTGGTTCTTTAATCAAAAAGAAGAAAAGGTTTTCCCATGTACAGATTAATCGTAGCTTCATTTGCTAAGGGCTTATAAAGTAAACCACGTAAGTCCATAAAGTAGGTAGGTCAAAACTGAGGGAATGAAGGCGGAAATCTGAGGTGACTGCATCGAATGAACACACCAACCTGTGATCCTCAGCCTGAGACCCAGCCCATTCTCCAAGATTCTGTTCTAGAAATGCTGTGGCAAGTGTCTGACTCCATTATTCAGATAGCCCAATAAACTGCTTAAATGGTTATAATAAATGCAAGTGGTATTCCGAAAATATCTTGTAAACTTATCTGTCAAACAACCCCACACAGAAAACAGAAGATCATATTCCCAAGCTGTATTTCATTATTCTCATTTTCAAAGCACTCCACAGAATTAGGTAAAATTATTTGCTTAACCATAATTTCCAGAGAGTCAAATTTAGGAATTTAAAAAAAAAAAATCTGATCATCTACAAATGCTTGTAATGAAAGGAAGAGAGTAATCTATAGACATATTGTTTCATAAGTAATTTGGTTAGTGAAATCGATTTGTAGGAGTTAGATCAAAATTTTCACTTCATATAATCTACAGGTATTTTCTTCATAAGTAATTTGGTCAATGGTAAAATACACTTACAATAAGAGTTAGATCAAATTTTTCATTATTGAATACATCCCAGTGGGGAAAGTAACTCCTCTACCTTTCCGGAGGATGGAACAGGGAAGACTGTGGAGGGCAAGAACTAGACAGACCTCCCTCGGCCGCATCTGCAAGATGAGGGGCAGTCCTTTTGCAATCTACCAGGCTACTGGATACCACCACGTGATACACATTAAAAGAAAGACAAAATCAGAGGTCAATTACATCAAGTAAGATTATATAAAGTATATTATATAAAGATTATATATAAGATTATATAAAGTATTTGACTACTCTCAACAATGACATTTTTAAGAAAATAAAGCAACTCAGGCATCTGATAACGGCAGAGCACTGGATATTGAAATTGCTAAGAAACCAGGGTGAATTTTCTGAGACACAAAAACAGGAAACTGCCAAATGACCTATTTCACTTTCTGTTTCACCCACGTGTAGGAGTGATCGTCTCTGGTCACACTTTGGTGCTGAATCAAACTACAAAATCCAAAAATCTGATCGTGTGTGCTGTCAACTGTCTCTTTACAGAAAATACCTAATTCCAAGTGTGGAAATGTAACTATTTATCCTAATTTGTCATTCCATTTGGTGACGGGCCGATCTACATAACTTGACTCAGTCATCGTGCTGCATTCATGAGGCAAAACGTTACAGATGTTTGGAGCATTAAACATGCTCAGAGTTGCGTTTAAAGTGTTTCTTTTAAATCCTTAAAATTAACCTACAGTGCTTGAACAGAGTTTTCAATCCATTATTGGGTTCTAAATATTCTACGTTATTTTCCTCCTACACCACTATTTTTCCCTCCACTATTTTATCTCCACACACCTAGAGAAAGAATGAGAATCTAGAAAGGTCTTATATCTGCACTGTCCGTTATAATAAACCACCAGCTACAGGTGGCTCCTGAGCACTTGAAATGTGGCTGGTCCAAATTGGGATGTTCTGCACATGTCAAATACAGAATGGAGTTTAAAGACTTGGTATGAAAACAGAAATGTGATGTATCTCATTAATAATTCTTTAAAATTGATTGCTTGTTGAAATGATATTTTGGAAATACTGTGGTCAAATGAAATATAGCTTTAAAATTAATTTCATCTTTTTTTAACTTTTTAAAAATAGGGCTACTGGAAATCTTAAAATTACATGTGGAGCTAGTTATGATGTTTCTATTGAACAGGGCTAGGCTCTGACGCAGGCCGACCTCCACGCAGGGACTTTGTCACAGGCCTCAGCCTCAGCCTGCTGGACTAACCTGCGACATCAGTATTGGCTGGAAACCAGACGTGGAACGTATCTATTTTCTCTCCAGCCTCCATGTCAGCACACACTGGCGACTGCTGCTTGCTAATGCACAAGGTTACCCTGATCAAACTGGAACCGGGGTAGCGTTTTGATAAGACTGGCTTTAGGCAGGAACCCAGAGTTTCTAAGAGCTCGCACACTTCTACTTCAGATTCCAGAAGTGAATCTAAAGCATGAGGTGTACGAATAATCCAAGGATGTCACTGGCATTTAGACCAGCGTTTCTCGGTCTCTTTTTCATTATCACCACACCCCCCGAGCATACTGAGAAATTCATAGCCCAGCTCCACCCACCATGAGATTTGAATGCTATGGCCCCTTAGAGACCACAAACCATTATAATGTCTAAGATTCTGTTGCCACCCAAGAATGAATTTTCATCCCAGTGGGGGTTATATTATTTCCTGTGTTGAGAACACAGGATTTAGAGCTACCCTCTTCCCCCAGTCCTATGAAAACTAGCTGGGGGACTCACTATTCCCACAGGCTTCACCGATGTAAACATCTCTGGGGTTACCAGGATGGCATTTGCACAGTGAGCAGCTCTAGTTCTCCAAGTTCTCCTCTAGGACAACTTGTGAGTTCATTCAGGGAAATAAATATTCTTGAATTCGGCAGAATGGATTAAGTGTGGGGGAGGCATCATTCTAATAGCTCTGAACGATCTCAGCGGCTCCTGAAGCAATGCCTGTGTTTTTGAATTTTACTTAGGGCTAAGTATCAAGAAAGGCTCTGCCACTGTGTTTTCTCCTATTAACAATTAGCATGATGTAATTTACACGTTTTTCCTTTCAAGTTCACCTCCAGGGAGCTACAGCCATATCTGCAGACGGAGTCTGACCCCAGATATAAGTGTATGATCTGAACATGTTCTGTTTTTAATCCTCATCTGTACCTCCTACTCTGCACTGTGGTTTTCCTGGTCCTAATTATTTTCACTTTTCATTTCTATTTCATTCTTTTCTTAGAATTGTTCCCCTGGGCCAGGGGAACAGCTTACCTGGGAGTGGGCGACCACTCTCTATCTGAATTAGGGTATGAGGCTGACTGAGGGTAAATCACGGCTGGGGAGAGGTTTTCCTGAGGAATATCATCTTGGAATGGAGACATATCATTAGGAAGAGTTCTGGAGGAAAAAAATAAGAAGACTAAAGTCAAAGAATTCTTAATGATAGATTCACAATCAAGTTTCAATTTTTTCTTGATTAGCTCTAAGTGCTTTGTGATTAACATGATCTCTTTAAACACCCAGACCTGTTCCAGGCAGTGGAAGGGGAAAAAGTGATACCGGCATCCATAAATGTATCTATGTGCTAATGCTCTGGCTGAATTCTAAATGTAAAGTGATTTTGTTTCGGCATTTGGACTCAGACACGCGTGTGGTGATCACACTGCTGGCTCCTCCCATCATGCCACCTTCTGTTACCCTACACAGTCATGTTCCAAAAGCCTGGGAAGTAGAGCGGCCCCAAACCGGCCGGAGGGTGGTATAAAACCCCTGCCAGGTACAGGCAGAGCTGCCGAATAACTCAATGACCATACGCTGATCATGTTTCGTCTAGCAGAAGAAATAAATGGCATCAACCAAACATGCCTTATGGTTACAGAACAACTGCAAACGACCTAGTTTCAGGTATAAGCACACTCACTACTAAATACAGTTCACAATTTCAGTCATGCAGAGGCCATTGTCTGCATGCTGATGTTACCTGGAACACCTACCACTACATTTTGGACTTCACCGTCATGCAGAGAAGGCAATTATAAGAAGCCCAATGACCCTGGTTCTGAGCCTGTCACAGGTTAGAGGCTGTAGTTGGGAAAAGCAATATTCGTTGCCAGTTGACATTTATTTTTTACCGAAAAAAAAGATATATTCTATTCCGAATAATGACGCAGGAAGATACTCCTGATGTCCCTTATCCCTTCTTTATGTTAACAAAATTATCAAAAATTACACTGAATTACATAAAAATCTGAAACATCAAATATCCTTTCAAAATGAATTTTATCTTTTAAAACTGGCATTTTTCACCAAAACAGTAATACATACAAACAGAATTTCACTACACTGTTAAAAGCAAAGGGAAACAAAATTTCCATTAAACTTTGGACCTAAGTCAACATTAAAAAGGAAAAAGTTTGCTTATAGAGAAAACAGCATTTTCTTCATTCACTTTTAAGCCTGAAATCAGCGCTTGCCTATAAATCAGCCCAACTGTGCACGGTTGGTGCTCAAATAAGAATAAATAGGTTCCAAGAAAATAGGTTTGGTCATGAACTATTAATTTGCTCAGTTCCTGTTTCTTGGCTGCTAAAGTGATCAGCCAAGGAGGTTTGGCATCACCAACTGTCTCTTGGCTACAGCACAGCAAATCTTTATACCACTCTAAGATTGAGTCCACATGATTCCAAAATTCAGCCTAAAATAGGGGTTCCCAACCCCTGGGGTCCGTGTCCCTGTCAGAACCTGGGCCACACAGCAGGAGGTGAGTGGCAGGCAAGCTGGCAAAGCTTCATCTGTGTTTACAGTCGCTCCCCATCCCTCACATTACCGCCTAAGCTCCTCCTCCTGCCAGATTAGTGGCAGCATTAGATTCTCATAGGAGCGGGAACCCTGTTGTGAAGTGCACATGTGAGAGATCTGGGCTGCGCACTCCTTATGAGAATCTAATGCCTGATGATCTGTCACCCATCACCCCCAGATGGGACTGTCTAGTTGCAGGAAAACAAGCTCAGGGCTCCCACTGATTCTACACGATGGTGAGTTGTATGATTATTTCATTATATATTACAATGTAATAGTAATGGAAAAAAAGAGCACTACAAATGTAATATGCTTGAATGATCCTAATACCATCCACCCCCAGTCCATGGAAACATTGTCTTCCACAAAACTGGTCCCTAGTGCCAAAAAGGTTGGGGACCACTGGTCTAAAACACATGAAAGAATAAGGAATTATGGGGGGAAAGTTTATAAAAATAATCTTGAACGGGTAACTGTCTGATTCTGGTGCAGCCCCTCCAGCCCGGACGGTTATTACCTGCTGCTCTCCAGCAGCTCCATGGCCTCATCCGAGCTCATCTCAATGGGGAACATGTCCTCCTCCTCAGACGTGTTCACGCTGTCATCTCTCTTCAGGCTGTCCAGCTGGGACTTTCTCCTCCTTTTTCTTCTCTTCTTTACTACAGAGCTGCTGGACGGCGTCTCGCTGGGAGCGATCACTTGGGCTGGCGTGCCGGCATCCAGGCCTCTTATCCTGTCCACAGAGCCTCTTTTCAGCTGACATTCCATTCTCGAAGCTCCTTCTGACAGGATGGGGGAGGTGGCCAGGTGCATGGGGATGACTTCCTGAGAAAAGAACACATTTTCTAAAAAAAGCCTCGTTAATTTCGGTGAAAGGAGCAGGGCCTTGCCAGAGGCCTCCAGGATTCATTTCAGAGGCCAAGTACCTCCTGGGGAGGGCCACAGCAGACAGCCCAGCTAGAGGCCACAGCCACGGTGACCAGGAGATGTGGCTGCCCAGTCTGGTAGACGATCAGAAAGCCAACAATGTGCTGAATGCCACTTTGTACTCAATCCGGCATTTATGTAATTTTAACAATGGGAGGTAATTCTCAGTGATCTCAAGCCTCCAAAATTCAACTTTGGCTGAAATATCCAGAGCACAGAGAAAAAAAATGAGCTTTGACTCACCATATTATGCTGAGAATTGGATGCACTCTTGCACTTCTACGTAGATGTGGGTGTGCGTGGGTGGGTGTGAGAGAAAGAGAGATAATGTGTATTGTGTATATTTTATATGCACTAAGATAATAATGATCTAAAAACCAAAAACACATAAAACAACCGACAGCCCCACCCAAGAATCTGCCTGCACCAGGGCCCAGGGAGGGCCCTGAACATCAAGGAAGCAGATGCTGATCCTCTCTTTAAAGACAAAAGGAAAAAGCACAACCTGTCCATTTAGTAGTTGTTTGTAAAGATTCAGCAGTTTTTATAAAACCCTAGTAATCATTTTATTAATGAATGCCTCGTTTTGTATGAGAAATTTGTTGGCAATAAGAATATACAGAAAACAGAGGGAATAAAAAAAAATGTGCTGCTGATCATTCAAGCAGGTTTGGAGAGCATCAGACATGCTGAAATATAACATCTACACCTGAGACATGCAGCTGTGAGACGTCATCTCACCTGGCTGCTGGACTAGACCAACTAGAGAAGCAGCACAAATTCTCAGGTCAAGAGCAGAGAAGGGCCCTTGCTGTCTGTGGGCCGGAATGGAATGGGCAGCCAGGAAGACCCCCGCAGGCACATGCAGCACCAAGCAGTGCTGAAGGACATAGGCTCCCCAGCTTCCAGCAGCATCCCGGGGGTCCTAAGAGGCATCTGTATGTTGCTGAACATACTCTGGCCTCCAAGGCCCCACCCCCCCACCACAGGCACCCTGTCAGACCAGCAAGACCAGCAAGCAGGCCCCATACAGGTCCCGCTGCATGCTGGCCCAAAATGCTTCCTTAGCTCCGGCAGCCAAGAATCTATCTAAAGCCAGGTACAAATAGAAATTAAAAATGCAGGTGTCCACATGCAGTGGAAAGAGTTTCTGTCAAAGGCCATTAGGAACCAATTAGTATTTTCAGAGTCTTCCCATCTAAGAGAGGTGAAGAGCAGGTGGGCAGGGATCCCCAGTATCAACAGGGTTACTCTAGAACATGGAAGGGGAGATGCTGGGTCCTCCCCAGGCACCACCCTTCTGGGTGGGCAGGATGGAGGCAGTGCCTGGGACTGTTCTGTCCCGAAGCTGCAATTACGGACACTTGCTTTAAAACCTGGAGCTATAAAAAGCCATTCCTTTTTAATCATGGCTGCCTTCCTGGAAAGGAACTAGTTCAAGTCGATTTCATTCAGGAACCCCTATATTAGACCCCTTTAAGGTGCCTCATCTGTGAACAAAAGAGTTAAAGACGTGGTTTGTCTTAGTAGAAAACATAACCATAAATCATGACCTTGGATTTGGCAAAGGACTCTTACATATATATGACACCAAAATCATGCACAACAAAAGAAAAAACAGCACACATTAAAAAGGTAAACACAAACTTTAAAAAGAAAGAAATTAGACTTCATTAAAACTAAAAACTTTCATGTTGCAAAGGACACCATCAAGAAAGTGAAAAGAGAACCCACGCAATGGAAGAAAATATTTACAAATCATATACCCGATAAGGGACTTGTACCTAGAATATATAATGAAGGCATACATGGCAGTAGTAAAAAAGAAAAACAACACACACACACACACAAACTAGCAAAGGATCTGAATAGACATTTCTCCAAAGATTCAGAAATGGCCAATAAGCGCATAAAAAGATGTCAGACACCACTAGTTATTAGGAAAATGCAAATCATAACCATAAAGAGATACCACTTCACATCCACTAGAATGATTAGAATCACAAAATCAGAAAAGTATTGGCAAAGATATAGACACATCAGAACTCTTTGTGTGCTGTTGGTGGGAATATAAAATGGAACAGTTGCTTTGTAACACAGTCTGGCAGTTCCTCAGAGGTTAAATGTAAAGTTACCACATGGCCCAGCAATGCCATTCCTAGGTATATAACCAAGAAAAATCAAATGCATGTGTCCACACAAAAACTTGTATACAAATGTCCACAGCTGCATTGTTTACAATGGCTAAAAGGTGGAAACAATCCAAGTTGTCTGTAATGATGAATGGAACAGATGAATGGACATGGTCTATGGATACAATGGAATACTATTCAGCCATAAAAAGGAATAAAATATTGATACATACTAAAACCTGGATGAACTTGAAACATTAACCAAAAAAAACGGGCACAAAAGATGGGATACTATAATTCCATTGAAAAGTTCAGAATAAGGAAATCTATGAGAGATAGAAAGACTAGTGGTAACTTAGGGCTCAGGGGTTGGGAGTAGAGAATAGGGGAGGCGATATCTAAAGGGTATGGTGTTTCTTTTGGGGGTGATGAAAATGTTCTAAATTTGACTGGTGGTGATAGTTGCACCTGTCTGTAAATATACTAAAACCACTACGTGTACACTTGAAATGGGTAAATTGTATATATGTGACGTATATCTCAATAAAGCTATTAAAATTTTTTAAATATTTTTTAAAGTAATTCAGCCACTCACTTAATAAAAGAACACTGGGCATTTGAGATTTGACACACCAGTGTAATCTGTACACCTCTGACAATGGTCCAGGCCCATGTGTGGAGTCCATCCCTCTGTCTCCTGGGAAGTAGTCAGCAAACTGAAGCCAGCCAGGAGAGCTGAGTCTGTGTGGACTCAGCACAGCCCCAGGCCATGTGGCTCAAATCCCTCATACAGATCAACGCCCACTTTTCTCTGCCCCATTGTCCACACAGCCAGGGCCAGTATTACTTTGCACAAACTTCCGCGGTGTCTCTAGATAACCATTGCTCAAAGCTCAAAACTAGGAAGTAACCCTGACCACCCAGCCTTCCTTACCTGATCATTATCTGTTTCTTGAACAAAAAATGCTTCTCCATTATCTCCCAATTTCATGTGCAAATCCACAGATTCCCCATTGATTTCTATGTCAACCTGAGGGGAAAACATGGTTAAGAAAAGAATGAGCTGCCTTCACCAGAACAGGAGACCTCATGGGGAGAGCCAAGTCTCTGTGGACACGCTGTCGTCACATATACCCTGAAGTGCCGCACAACTCCCAGTCTCACTCAGGCAGTCCCATCCAAGGGAACGATCACTTGAGCACTGGAGGAGTTCTGGGTTCGGGAGGGCACTCCCATGACCAGGAAAGAAGGAACCCAAAGCAGCAGGTTGGTGCAAAAATAATTGCGGTTTTGGCCATTATTGTAATTATTAAAAATAGTGGCAAAAACTGCAGTTGTTTCTGCAGCAAGCTAATAGAAAGATTCCTCCGAGACCACCTGGTCTAGCTCCTCCTTTTTTGGCTGAGGAGCTAGGCCAGACAAGAGGAGTGACCAGACCAGGGTCACACGGCTGGTGAGAGTTCAAGCTGCAATCAAAGCTTCCCCAGCCCCAGACATTAGAAATTACACCCTGGAAAACTCACCAACTATTGGCTGGGATCCTTCACCCATACTCAAGGAAGAGCTTCCACTTGAACTTAACTCAAAGAACGAATCATGAGACATCATCCCAAAATCCACATTAGGTGGGGGCATGAAATGTCTATTTGTAAATATTTGTTTCTTTCCATTTGTGTGGAGATTGTCTTCTAAAACTGGCCACATCAATATTCCGGTCCTACCTGCTCTTCCAGAACCTTTGCCACTCCTGAAAATAAACTAGAAATAAAACTCTAAGCTCACAACTGACTGAATGGACCCCCTCTCGGTCAAGGAGATGCCAGAGAAAGCTTGAGAACTGAGTTCAAGGCCATGATGGAATGCCAGATAGGTCATGCTTCCTCATACCCCACCTCAGTAACCGCCATTTCAAAAGGGCCAAACAGAAACCAGCCCTTTCAAAAGACTCTGCACTGGTATCAGCAAAAGAAGCGGCTCTGCCTTTTTTTTTTGGGGGGGGCCTGATAAGAGCGCAGGAACTAGTCCTGACCCATCTAGGGAGAATGTGCCCTGAGGGTTTTCCCTTCCTCTGCTCCACCCTTTGATGTCAGACACCAGAAAACTCCACCCTTGGCTGGTGCTAGTGCCATCATGTTTTGAACATGGGTCCCATGGAGAGGCATGAAGCTCCGCTGCACATGTGCATGTTTTCCTCTCCTGAACACTCGTGACCCCCCTCCTGTGGCTTATTAAATATGTAGATTCTGTGATCCCAGAAATCCCTGGTCTCTTTGCCCCTCCTTCAAAGCATCTGTTTCTGCTTCTGGCGGGAGGCTACACTTCCCAGCCTGTCAGAATTGGCCACCCAGCAGGCAAAGCAACGACCTAGTTCTCCTCTCCAAATGTATGAACTTTATCCTTCTTCCATTGACACCACCAAGAAAAGCCTATTTCTCCTCCCCTTGAGCCCAGGCAGGCTTGTGATGGTCCCAACCAGTAGAGCACAGCAGAGGTGATGCCATGTGGCTTGCAAGGCTAGGCCATAAGAAGATCCAGCATCTGCCTGGCTTCCTCCCTCTCAAGATGCTCACCTCACCACTGCCACTGTGTTATGGGGTGCCCTGGCCACGTGGAGAGGCCATGGGTAGTTGGTATGACCAACAGCCTCAGCCAAGAGCCCAGCCAAGAGCCAGAATCAACCACCGGTCACAAAGAATGTGAGTGTTCAGATGATTCCAGCCCTCAGCCTTTGACCTTTCCAGCTAAGGCCCCAGAGAGCAGAGAAAAACCATCTCACTGTGCTCTGCCTGAATTCCTGACCCACAGATACAGGAGCTTAATAAACAGTGGTGTGTGCCACGGCACTTTAATTTACACAGCCATGCTAACTAGAATAATTTCAATTAGTCACTGTCAGTTCCATGACTGACCATTTCCAACGGAGACCTGAAACTCTGGGTCTGAGAGTACAAGACAGGTGGCATCACCAGAGTGCAAGGGCATTCTCTAAGGAGAGCCAGTGCCAGGTCCCCGTGCCCTGAGAGCTCACCACTTTCTCTCGGGAGCGCAGGACGCCCATCTTCCCAAAGCGGACGTGGAAAGGGGAGCATTGGAGGTTTCCATTGGGCTGGCGGATGACAATGATGTCAATGCACCCCGAGAGCGTGGCGGGGTTCAGCCCCTTGTAGAGCTCCTTCACGGTGACAAACACCTGGCCGGCTAACTGCCCCACGTAATTCATGGTCTGTGCCTGGAAAACAGACAAAAAACACACACACAGACACACAATTAATCAAAGGAAGAGCCAATCAAAACGAACTACTCACCATTTTAAAAACATAGATTACACACTCAACTTTCAGCTCATCCCGTTTCTGGAATATGCTCCGTCCACCCCCATGGCCCATCAGGGTCCATCATGGCCCATTACAGCCCATCAGGGCCCATCACGGCCCATCACGGCCCATCACGGCCCACCACGGCCCATCACGGCCCACCACGGCCCACCACAGCCCATCACGGCCCATCACGGCCCACCACGCTCCATCACGCCCCATCACAGCCCATCACGGCCCATCACGCTCCATCACGGCCCATCACGGCCCATCAGGGTCCATCACGGCCCATCACGGCCCATCACGGCCCATCACCCCAACTCCCACAGCAAGCCCACCAGTCTCTACTCTGCCAGAGTCCAGCACAGACAGCCTTGACCCCATGACATCTAATCTCAGTTGTCCCGGGCCCTGTCTCCTCTGCAGTCCCATGAAGCTTGTTTATATTGTCCTTAGGACCACTGCCACCTGCCCCTTCTTCTGTCATGATGGACAGGTTTTGCACACTAAATCTCAAGACTGTAGAGGAAAGAGACTATTTCATACAGCTTAGGATCCCCCACCATGCCAATCACAGTAGCTACTTGATATTAGTTGAAAAACAAATGACTGTTTTTACTGGAGAAGGGAAATGAAGGATTTTTGTTTGTGACAATCTCCATGTGGTCTTTGCCTGTGTGTCTGACTTCTCTCCACTGCTCTCCAGCGCAGGGAACACCAGCGCTCTGGGCTGCTGGCCGGCTATCAACTGCAATCCACTCAGCAAACATTCAGGCCATCTCCTCTACAGGGCCTGGGGCCACAACACAGAGATAAAGAAGAAAGTCCTGTCCCCTGGAGGGACTCACAGGCTCCTGAAGGAAACAGAGGTAATATACAAGGAACTAGCAGGGCATAGTAGCTCATGCCTATAATCCCAGCACTTTGGGAGAATGAGACAGGTACATGGCTTGAGCCCAGGAGTTTGAGATCAGCCTGAACAACATGGCAAAATCCCATCTCTACTAAAAACACAAAAATTAGCTGTGCGTGGTGGTGCGTACCTGTAGTCCCAGCTACTTGGGAGGCTGAGGTAGGAGGATCACTTGAACCCAGGAGGTGGAGGTTGCAGTGAGCTGAGTGTGACTGGAGTGCAGTAGCACGCACGCGCACACACACACGCACACACAAACTAAAATAAATATCAGTGTCGCTGAATTTAAGTAAACACTAAGGGAGTTATGATCAAGGAAAGAAGGTGCATCAGAGGAGCTGGCGCTGGAGGCGGGCTTGGAGGAGGACATCTCAGATGTCAGATGAGAAGGTGGACAGGGTACTGCGGGACAGTGAGAGGTTCATGCAGAAGCATGGAAGCTTAAACTACCAGACTGGAAGAGGGAGCTGTGCCCAGAACAGAGAATGTGCAGAAGGGAAGGATGGAGAGTGGGAAACCGTGCCAGGAGATGCGAGTTCTGCTGTGTGAGGCCATCCGATTCTGGAACAAAATGACACTTTGATTCAAGATTTAGCAAAAGCATCACTGTAACAATGTAAAGACTGGCAAGAAAAAAACTTGATGGCAGGAAGGCTAGGAGAGAAACGATTTCCCGCCTGGAAAGGAGGTAGAGACAGAAGAAACAGAGGGATAGGGACAGGTCAAGAGATATTCTGGGTTCAAGGCAGCTGGACTCCGAGCCACCACTGTGCTCTGGCCTTCTTTTCGTAGCTCCGGATCCCTGACCACCTGGTGCAGTCCACGCCTGCCCACATCACTGTCCACTCTACTCAGCTCTCAGCTCCCATCCTTCTGCCGTCACTGTGCCCTGCTGTCCTAACCGCTGGTCTTGACTGGCCCATGGCACTCACATCTTATCCCTGGACTGGGTCATGGCAGGCAGGAGTCCTCCAGCCCTCCTCTCTCCACTCCTTGCTCAGCTTCGAGGGTCACACCATCAACCCTCCTCTGGCCCTTCAGGGACATGGCACCTCTTGGTGGTCGTCCAGTCTCGGGAGTCTCTTCTTTCCAGCTCTGACTTATACTCCAAGGCTGAGTCCCAGACTCTCTTCTCCTCTCCCGTTTATTCACCTGATGCTTTGGTGGATTCGTGAAGCCACGTGGTTGCAAATACCGCCCCAACAGGAAGGATTTGCACGACGTAACTTCCAGTCCACCCCGAGACCTCACCCCTCCTCCTGGTCCACACTGCTGCCATTCTTCAAGGCGACTATCCCAGGACACATGTGACCACACAGACAACACCCCCACCTCAGCTCACCTACAGACTCCAGGAAACACCATGTGTGTGAACCTGTGGCTCACAAACCTGCCGTGTAGACAGGTTGGTTCTGGGAGCTTTTCCTACCATTCAGTGGCGCCGTGATATTATGATGTAAAAGGAAATATATATTTTGGTCTTCATCCCCAGATCCCAGCCAGAACTCCTAAACCCCTTATAATTTCTAAGTGATCAGAGTGATAGGAATGTCTTTTGTTATGATATTTCGCTTTCTTCCCCTGCTCCTGAAACAGCCCCTTAGCTCCAGAGCTTTATTGCTCTGGTGAAAGGAGCGTCTTTCCTCACTCAAGATAAGCCCCCTTGGACCACACCAAAGTTTAATCAGAGGACTCTCGGAGGATGGGGGCTGGGCCAGCTGCCAGAGGAACTATCTGTGATAAGCGTTGGCGCCTTCAGCCACTCCCCACCCCCCACCCCATCCCCAACCTCCAGGGAGGGGGAGGGGAGGGAGATTAAGTGTCATCAATGGCCGATGAGTGAATCAATCTCGCCTGTGTAATGAAGCCTCCATAGAACCCGAAAGAAAGGGGCTCAGAGAGCTTCCGGGTTGGTGAACGTGTGGCAGTGCTGGGAGGCTGGGGTGCTGGAGAGGGCATGGAAGCACCACTGCCACCCCACCGCCCTGCCCTGTGCACCCTAATACCCTTCCACCTGGCTGCTCCGGAGTTTTATCCTTTATAACAAACCAGTGGCGATCAGTAAACTGTTTCCCTGAGTTCCGTGAGCCGATTCACAAAGGAATGAACCCAAGGAGGTGGTCATGGGAACCCCTGATTTATAGCCAGTCAGGCAGACGCACAGGAGGCCCAGACTGACTGGCATCTGAAGTGAGGGACAGCTTGTGGGGATGAGCCCTTAGCCTGTGGAATCTGATGCTAACTCCAGGTAGACGGTGTCTGAAATGAATTCAATTATAGGCACCCAGTTGGTGTGCTCGAGAGCTGGAGAACTGCTTGGTGTGGAAGAGACACACACAGGTTTGGTGTCAGAAGTGTGTATGAGAGTAGAGGAAATTGTATGGTTTGTTTGTTCTTTTATGAGCTACATTCTTAAGGCCAAGGATAAAGCTTTGGTCTTTCAAGTTAAAAAAACAAAATATACCTTTTGTATATCTTACCCCAACTCCTATGAAATAAGCAAAAGTGAGATCAGCACACCCATTTGCAAATGACGCTCAGAAGTGGTCAAATCCCCTGCATGCAGGGGCTAGTAAGAACTGTGGATTTAATTCTAATTTAGAACAGGCCAGAGAACCAAAAGTCATGAATGATACCTACAAAGGAAAGAATGCAAGAAGCCCTCCCCGGTGCATCTTACAATTTTAAATGAAGCTCTCTGCACTGATACACCTCCTCTCTCAACGGAGGACACAAGCCCAGCCAGCCCTTAGCAAAGACACTCAGGGAGGAACACACATCTGCCTTCCTTTTCACCTGGGGGTAAACGCCAGAGCCCAGCTCCCCCTTCATCTGTCCTGCTAATATGTCACATATATATAAACATCAAACACACATTTCTCTAAGTTTACGAGTGGTGCGGGTTTAACTTCATGCAAAAAAGGTGCGGTGGGATGCTTCCTGAAAAGATGTACAATATAAGAAATGATTCTTTATAACCCTGATACTTCTTATTCCTTCCATGTTGAACTTAGATTTTAACATGTGTTTGGTAAGAGAGGTAACCCTCTAACTCTAAAACTACGTGCAAGCAGTATTAATAACATCTTTGTACAATTTCTTTCATATACATTATCTCCTGCTGACTCTCATGATACCCTGTAGGAATGCAGCCTTTCAGATGGTAAAACCAGAAGACAGCCAAAGTGCAATGAAGATTGCAGGGCTGGTGAAGAAGGGCTGTCTGGACTGACACGCCCAGTTTCACCAGACTGGAATCCAGGTCTTTGGATTTTGAAGTGACCTCTCTTTCGGTTCTGTGAAGCCCTTTCTCATGTTCCCCACCTCTTTGCCTTCATCACCCTTGCAGGTGAGCTATGTTTGTCACCGAATGAGACCAACTCCCCAGCAGTGAGGCCCCAACCCCAGGCCAGCACATCTAAGAACTACTGTTGATATTTTTTTACTCGTAAGAAAGAGAAAGCTCATAACTGGATAGCATTACCACATCTCTGCATCCTAGCCTCTCCTCTGCAAAGGGGGCATGTTGGCCTGGGTGACGTGCAAGGTCTAATTCCAGCTCTATCTGTTCCAAGACAAAGGCTGCACTCCTTAGTTCTTAGCAACTGAAGAGGCATCTTTAATAATTTAATTGTTGCTCTGCTCTCTTGTTCTCAAGAACAAGCATCCTTGCCCCTCTTCAGTGAGCAAACTCAAGGTTACTGCTCAGAATCTAAGAATTTGGAAGCGAGAAGGAACCTTAGTTGTTGTTCCAGCAACCTCATTTTTTAAAAGTAAGCCCAGAAATGGGAAGTGACTTAGCAAAGCTTTCTCCATGGCAAAGACAGAGCCAAGACTCCAATTTCCTCTGTGACCTTCCCACTGGATTGGTCTGGAGTATTTTCCTACCACAAATAACCAGAAGGTGCTTTGATATCCCCAGCTGTGGCTTTAGCTTAGATTAATGGTGCTCTGATATCTTTAGCAGTCCCCTCTATTCAATAACTTCTTTGCAAATCTGAAAATACCTCAATTTGAAAGCAGGAAATCTTCTCAATAATTCTCAACAAGTGACAGGGTCACGGGCTCCACCTGGCAATCTGTTGTCTGTTCCTAGGAACTCAACATCTACACCCTGGGCCTGCCTTAACAACCAAGCACTGAAAGTTTTTAAAAGGGTGAATACCACCACCTCACATCTATTAAGATGACTACTATTAAAAAAAAAAAAAAAAAAAAAGAATATAACAAGTGTTGGCAAGGATATGGAGAAACTGGAACTCTTGTGCACTGCTGGCGGGAATGTAAAATGTGCAGCCACTTCAGAAAATAGTCTGAATTCATCAAAAAAATAAAAATAAAATTAGCTTATGATCCAGCCATTCCAGTCCTGGGTATATATCCAAAAAAACTGAAAGCAGGTCTCGAAAAGATATTGGCACACCCATGTTCGTGGCAGCATTATTCACAGTAGCCAAAAGGAGGCAGCAAACCCAGGGTGACAGATGAATGGAAAAGCAAAATGTGGTCTATCCATATCATGGACTATTACTGAGCTTTAAAAAGAAAGGAAATTCTGATACATGCTATTGTGTGGATGAACCTTGAGGACAGTAGGTTAAGTGAAATAGGCCAGTCACAAAAGGACAAATGCTGTATGATTCTACCTATATGAACTACCTTAGGCAGACAAACTCATAGAAACAGAAAGAGTGATTACCAGGGGCTGGGGAGAAGTGGAAAATAGGGAGTCAGTGTGTGTTTAATAGGTACAGGGTTTCCATTTTGCCACTGAACCATACACTTACAGATGGTTAAAATGGCAAACTTTATGTTATGTGTATTTTATCACAATTAACATTTTTTTTAAGAACTGGGGAGAGGCCGGGTGCGGTAGCTTACTCCTGTAATCCCAGCACTTTGGGAGGCCGAGGCGGGCAGATCACGAGCTCAGAGATGGAGACCATACTGGCTAACATGGTGAAACCTAGTCTCTACTAAAAAAATACAAAAAATTCATCGGGTGTGGTGGCGGCGCCTGTAGTCCCATCTACTGGGGAGGCTGAGGCAGAAGAAAGCCGTGAACCCAGGAGGCGGAGCTTGCAGTGAGCAGAGATCGCACCACTGCACTCCAGCCTGGGCGACAGAGCGAGACTCCATCTCAAAAAAAAAAAAAAAAAGAATTGGGGAGCGAGAATATTGTATTAACCAGAACTCATTTCAGGAAGCCAGGATATCATTTGGTTAAATAATTTCTTTGAAAGAGAACTTGGGGTGGAGGGGGCAATCCCTCTCCCAGGAGGCACCATGCCCTTTAAGGCACCGGGTGGGCCCGGTCACTCCAGGCACCTGTTGCCTGGAGGGGTGCTGGCAGGTTAGAGGCAGCCAGGCTCTTCTTTCTCTGCCTTTCCTCCAAGCTCTCTTCTAAATAAATCCTGGACAGATGTTTAAAGAATACAAGAATAAACCAGCTGAGCATAAATTCCCAAATTTTACTTTCAGTTATGTTTTGAGTAAAAGGTTCAAGGAAGAAGCTAACTTACCTGAAGAAGCCAGACAAAACCAGCCAATCAACCCACCTCCCCATACCTGCCCGTTAATCTCATGACTGTCTTTGGTGTTGGTTTCCTGCTGTCTGCTAAAACACGTGACCAAGCAGTGAGGGGAATATCTGCTTTATAGAAGAAAGTATCTTAATTATTTCAAGGGTGACAAACAACAATAAACAAAAACAAAACCTGCAGAGGACCAAACGGAACGCTTCAATTTCCAGTGGCTTTCAGATGCCTGCTATTCACTCACCCCATACCAAATTCCTTTTAAACTTACTGATTTTAATCTTAAAATTTGGCAGGATATAGCAGCTTCACCTGACAGGATTTTATTTACCACTCGAAACAGGATTCCACAACCCCTAGTTCAAATGTTTTTGACGGAGAACTCAGCCAAATCTTACAAATATCCTTTGGCAAGACTGGGGTTCTCTAAGTGTGGATTTTCAGAAAAGCTCTAAGGTTAAGAAATGTAAGTTTTTTGAATGTGACATCTTCTAGCTTGACCTTCTGAAATAATACAAATTTTCTGAGGTTATTACATCCCATTGGAATACCATCTTTCCAGACATCTCTGGGTTAGAAACTGTTTTTATGTTAGAACCAAACAGATAATATACCAAAGAACATAAACATCTACAAGCATATTCCACTTAGAATTCTACTTATGACATTAATAATAAATAGCAAGCTCAACTCGAATAGCATTGATTATTAAAAACACATATGGGGGCGGGGCACTCATGCCTATAATCCCAGAACATTGGGAGGCCGAGGCTGGCGGATTACCTGAGGTCAGGAATGAAACCAGCCTGGCCAACACGGTGAAACTCCATCTCTACAAAAATACAAAAATTAGCATGATGCCTTTAATCCTAGCTACTCAGAAGGCTGAGGAAGGAGAATCGCTGGAACCCAGGAGGCAGAGGTTGCAGTGGGCCGAGATCACATCATGGAACTCCAGCTTGGGCGACACAGTAAGACTCCATCTCAAACAAATAAATAAATAAATAAATAAATAAATAAATAAATAAATAAAGGGATTTGAATGATTTTAGGCCACGCCCCTTAATGGACGATTCAGGAATCTGCTGTTCCACTCATTTATTATGCAAGTAAATAAAAGTGATTTTAATTCCCTTTCTAGTTCCTTCAACTAGAACATTACCTAAGGCACGTTATCTGGGACATAATAGTGGCTCCCTTTTCCTATTGTGGGTTTGCTCCTTGGAAATGAAATGATATCATGGTAAGCAACATCTAATGATATACAAGACTGGCCGAGCAAATGCAAATGCAAAACTGTCTCAATAAATGCACTCTTACAATCCCCGTTTTTGTTCAGTCTTTCTCACTTGTACTTTTCTTCCTACTCTCGCTTCTTTTAGAACTAAGTGGCCAGGCACAGTGGCTCACGCCTGTGATCCCATCACTTCGGGAGGCCGAGGCAGGTAGATGATGAGGTCAGGAGATAGGGACCATCCTGGCTAACATGGTGAAACCACATATCTACTAAAAATACAAAAAATTAGGCAGGCATGGTGGCACACACCTGTAGTCCCAGTTACTCAGGAGGCCGAGGCAGGAGAGTCGCTTGAACCCAGGAGGTAGAGCTTGCAGTGAGCCGAGATGGCGCCACTGCACTCCAGCCTGGGTGACAGAGCAAGACTCTGTCTCAAAAAAAAAAAAAAAAAAAAAAAAAAAGAAAAGAACTAAGTGTTTTGCAGGAGTTGAACAATAATTAACCCTCAAATCTGGGTTCCCACCTGCCTCCTCCGTTTCCTCCCCTCGCTGTCCAGGTATACGACCCCTTCATACACACACCCACATGACGCTATCTTTCAGCCTCAACCTCCTCCTCAGCCCTCCAGCCCAGTCACCCAGGGCAGTAGCTTGATAAATATTACTGTCATTCGTCAAGTGGTTGAACAGACATCTATCTACCAAGTGAGTCTTCTCTCCTTGAGGACAGGGACGAGGCTTGCTCATTTCTGACGCGGTACCTGCCCCACCGCAGGGCCCAGGAGATGTCTGCAGTGCTATGTGGCCATGTTTTCTTTAACAACTTCCCACATCTTCTTTGATGACATTCTGCAATACTTGCCAGGAGTCTAATCCTATGTATTTGTGTACCAAGCTAGGTATTTCTGGAATGATGTAATTGCATTAAATCTATATGGTGACTGATTTCCAAAAGCGAAAGTATTTTCTGCGTTCAGAATGCTTTTCCTCCCATATAATGGAAATAGAGGATCCAAGCTCCCTCAGCCCTACTCTTAAAACATTGAGAACCAGTGGGTGTCCCAGAGCAAAGGACCAAGGCTCAAGCCAAGTTCATTGACCTGTGGTGACCATTTTGCCAAAACCAGGATGGAAACGGCGGCAGGCAGGAGGATGTGGATGTGTTTTGTGATGGGGTCTCCACTTACCCAGGAGACACAGATGGCCTAGGGCTGTCGGGGGCCACGCGGGGCATGTGCAAGCCCCTGGTGTTTTAATGAGGAAGGAGTTGGCAGGTCATCACATAGAGAGCAATGAGGCACTCTGCCAGGAGCAAATGAAAGAGAACCGCTGAAAACAACCTCGGGTTTCAGCACAGGCTAACCTTTGACTTACCTTTGAAAGGACACTCAGAACGAAACAGAACTTGGGGCTCTCTGAGAAAACAAATCCTATTGCCTGTTTGAAGTTAAAGTGTTGTCTGTCCTGTCAGTACAGACCCTGAGACTGATCCTTGTTTTCCTGGGGTGCTCGGGGGAGCCACAGGTCCAGCCTAGGGGAGTCAGCCTCTGGAGGTAGGAATCCACCAGAGCCCGCAGACCTTTCCCAATGCCCCTTATTTGTTTGTGCTCAGAACACTTAACACATCACTGCTAAGCCCCAGGGGAAAGGCCATAGGAACCTCCACATTCCATAAAATGTATGAAACTCCTTCATATGTTGTAAGCACATCTGATCCGATTCTAAACAACCCCGGGAAGCACTCCAGGGTAAGCATCATCACCCCATTTCTGATGAGGAGCCAGGAGCACCAGGTTTATTCCAACATGACTAGAAAGTGAATAGAGAAGAGTGGGGAGCCCAGGATGGACTCCTAGTCTCTGCTGCTGTCCTCTGCACAGCACTACCTCCTCATCTAAGGTGGACAAATCCAGTATCAGTGGGGGAGGCCCAGGTAAAGACAAACCAGTCATGTGGCTTTAGCAAAGCAGATGGCAACCATCTAATTCTAAATGTCAACTCATATTGAGCACATGTTTACAGGGCATCCGGTGCTGGAGACATCATCATAGATTATAACTGAAGTCTGAATTACAGAGAGGCAGTTTCAAATCCAGGGCAGAAGGCACAATCTAAGCTTCCAAAACCTCCTTTACTAGAGGGAGTGAGCTCACCCTCAAAAGGTGCATTCAAAAAGTCCAAACCACCACTTGGCAAAGAGGTTGTAGAGGTAATTCGAGAATCTGATGGGGCTCTCACTTTGATGCTGAGATTCTGTGACCTGGTCATAGCAACTTCATGAAATCAAGTCTTCATCTCAAGCAAGAAGCTTTTCTTTTTGGTCCCATCACGACATTCCAGAGTATAAACAGCAAGTGGCACCCACCACCCTCAAAGTAGCTTGGCAAGTCAGGGTACGAGGGGGAAAAGCACGAAAATTTAAAAACCAGAAGAAACGAAGACAGCAGGAATTGTTCTCTGCCAGAGCATAAATTTCGTAAGACAATGCTCCCCAACAAAATGTACTGCGAACAGTTTAAATAAACAGCCATGACATCTAAGGGTAAGAATGAAAAGCAGAAATGACACAAAATTGGGGTCAGAAGGTCTGGCTCTGTTATCTTCTGGCATTTACCAGCTATGTGTGTGGGAGCAGGGCATTAACACAACGGCTCTGACTGAGCCCACCAGGCTGTCATCCTCAGTGGTCAACACAATGACTAGTTTGGAAAGATCTTTGCTCCTGGAAAACACAAG